GATCTTTCTCTGTAAATCTGATCTGCCTTTCCAATAAAATTCAAATAAATCTTTAAAAACTTTTTTTGGGGGGGGGGAGAAAAGGCTATTGAAGTGCCGGAGTCCAGCTCCAGCTGAGTTCAGAGCTCGGGAAGGGTGCGTGGAGTCGGTGATAAAGAAAGACACAGACACAGACACTTGTTGCGTTTTTGCTGCTTCCTTGCTTCTTGCTTGCTTGCTTTTTCAAGAAGAAGCTGTTCTTTTTATTTTCTTAGACACATCACAAACTTCTGCACAAACGTTTGATTTTTTATCTTTTACTTTAGAACTAAGACAGCATGCACAGATGTTCAATTAATTTTTACTTCATGGTCAACCAGGTGCTCTTAAAGATAATTCTGTAAGTTACTATAATCAGTTTCTTTAAAGCAAGCCGTTATTCATTCTTCAGAAGTGGCCATTAGGAGACAGCCTGAACTCCAAGGCCAAGGCACAGATGGTTACCTGCTAATTAGTAAAACATTCCTACTACATTTTATTTTCACAACTTATCACTAAATGGGAGAAATACATCAAAAGGGAAAAAACATAAAGATGTAAGACAAAAAGTTTCAAACATTAAATCCCCCTACAACTGCAGCCTCTACAACCTCATAAACAATCAAACAATAATCAAAAGTATATCTCTATGATGTTAATAGAATCACCCTACATTTCTTCTAGTTAAAAAATTATGAAAGTGGCTAAAACAGCTACATTTTCTATGCTCTAAAGAGTTGCAAGGACAAGCTAACCTTTAAGGTCACAGTAACTATATTTTTGCCATAGCTGTTTCAGCTCTTACTCCCATCACTTCCATTAGTATGTAAAATTCTTGTTAAGCTGTTTCCCAGAAGGCATGCTATATGTCTGGGCCCGATTTCAGGGCAATGGGTAGGCACACAATAAGGTGTCCAGAAATGGCATGGGTTTAATTGTACTCCTGTGCGCAGTTAAAGGCCCACTCACCAAGACATTATCAATAACATTAACTCTTAAGCTCACAGTAGTTGCCAAAGCCATCCCACAGGGGCAAACAATGCCTCAATAGATTACAGAATTCTTAGTGGGGTGCTTGAATGTCCATGCAAACAGGGGGTAAGACTGCGTCAAGGAGGTCAGAGAGAAATCCACCGGGCCCTGCCAAACAGCTGGAAGCTCCCCAGGCCCTGCCAAGCAGGGAGCTGTTCTCTTCACACCTTTGTGTCATCCATACCTACTGCACGGACCCCAGCATTGAAGAAGAGGAAAAGGACTTCAAAGGAACCCAGGAAGTAACTCATAGTTTTTCTTCATTAGGGAAAAGGGAGCTGAGAGGACTGGGGACGCAGTCCCTGGTTAACCTGGCCAGGGTGCAGCTGGAAGCCTGAGCGGGATGTGGCTGGAGAGTTGGGTAGCAGTGTGCGTGATGGAGGTTTCAAGTGTGTTTCTCAGGGCCAGCCTGCTTCCCGTGCCCCCGGGATCACCCTTACTGCCAGTCTCGGTAGAGGTTGGGTGGTCTCGCATGTCACGGGAAGTATAATTCTCACAACCCTCCCCCCCCGCCAAAGTTTTTTTTAAGATTTGCCTATTTTACTTGAAGGAGTTACAGGGTCGGGGAGTGGGGCCTGGGGAGAGACAGGTTGATCTTCCATCCACTGGTTTACTCCCCATGTGGCCACCATGACCAGAGCAGATCTGGTCTGATCTGAAGCCAGGGGTTCTTCTAGATCCCTCATCTGTATGCAGGAGCTAGGATCTTGGGCTGTCCTCTAGTGTTTTCCCAGGCACTTAGTGGGGAGCTGGGTTGGAAAAGGATCAGCCAGGACACAAATCAGCACCCTCATGGGATGCCAACACTGCAGGTCCAGGATTAACACCCTAGGCCACTGCATCGGCTCCGCTGTTCCCAGTCTTAAATATGTCTGAGGAATAATTTATTTGGGGGAGTAGTCATGTAGATATGCAAGTTCATATGAATTTGCATAAAAATGCCTCACTGCCTTCAGCCTTGGCAATCACTGTAAGACACTGATTTAAGGGATGGGGTGTCGGCTAAGGATGTGAGCTCTGTTTACACATCCTGGATCTTCCGCCTAGCTGGCTGGTTCTGTGTTATTGGGTAAATTACTTAGCTGTGATGCCTTCGTTACGGATGCACTGAGAGTGTTAGCAGGCATAGGGCACTTATGTCCTCCGGTAGAACTGGTGCGTGCTGTCTTTTGGATAGAAGCAACTTCTTTGCTTTATATCAGCATTTGTGAGTGGGTAGGGAAATGTTCCTGCTAGAATCATGTCTGCTGGTCACACGGTTATGTGCGCCTGAGCCTTAGTAATACTGTCTGCTTCTGGGGTTGGAACGTCTGCGCGTAGCCATGCCCAGTGGAATCCAGCAAGAGAAAGAGCTAAGCACCATAGCAACGGTTGCTATTTGCATCCTGAGCCGCAGTTGCCTGTGACAGATTTATTTTTTAATCCTGATCTCACTGATAGCCTGGGATGTGGCTGTGCTCTAAAGAAGTGGGTGGGTTGGCCTGTCCAGGCTTTGAGAATTCATGAGCACATGTTCAAGGATTCCATTCCATGTGAAATGTGAGGCGTCAAGGCTTTGTGTGTGCGAGAAAGGAGGCAGTTGGGCTCTGACAGGGTGCGGCCCTGATGCGTATAGTGTCACTGGGTGGTCAGAACGCCCTGTTGGTGCGGCTGGGAGTCGGAAAGTGACTTTGCTGTTTGTAGCAAAGTGACTTCGTAGTCTGCGATTCCCTTATAATAACTCAGAGAATATTACACATCTACACACATACACATAATTGTGTAACAGCTTCCATATTGTGGTCTGTGAATTTCAGAAATAAGATTATCTTCACAAGGAATGTTTTATTACTAAATGTCTTCCTGAAATAGATAACAAGACTTTTAAAAATGATACCTCAAATAACGGTTAGATTAATTTATTAGTTCTCTATGTTTTATTTCTGATGCATTGAAATGTTTTAAGCCTTAATGAGATGCTTTGAAATAGTAATACCGGGCTGGTGCTGTGCTGCCTGCCATGCTGGCATTTCATATGGACTCTAGTTTGAGTCCCAGCTGCTCCACTTCTTTTTTTTTTTTCCCCAAGATTTTTTATTATTTTATTTGAAAGATATAGAAAGGAGAGACAGAGAGAAAGATCTTCCATCCACTGGTTCACTCTCCCAAATGGCCGCAGCAGCCGGAGCTGAGCTGATTTGAAGCCAGGAGCCAGGAGCTTCCTCTGGGTCTGCCTTGTATGAACAGGTGCCCACAGCCCTGGGGCGCCCTCTGCTGATTTACCCAATCATAGCAGGAAGCTGGATCGGAAGTGGAGCAGTGCCCAAACAGGATGCTGATGCTGCAGATGGAAGCTTAGCGTGCTGCACTGTGTTGGCAGCTCTGCCTCACTTCTGACCCAGCTCCCTGAGAATGGACCTAGGAGAGCAGTGGAAGACATCCCATGTTCTTGGGCCCCTGCACCCATGTAGGGGATCAGAAGAAACTGTGGGCTCCTGGCTCCAGCCTGGTACAACATTTACCATTATGGACACTGGAGGAGTGAAACAGAGGATAAAAGATCTCTCACTTTCTGTTTCTGTAACTATGCCTTTAAAATGAATGAAAGAGGGCCTGGTGGCGTGGCCTAGCGGCTAAAATCCTCGCCTTGAATGCGCTGGGATCCCATATGGGCGCCGGTTCTAATCCCGACAGCTCCACTTCCCATCCAGCTCCCTGCTTGTGGCCTGGGAAAGCAGTGGAGGACAGCCCAAAGCCTTGGGACCCTGCACCCACGTGGGAGACCAGGAAGAGGTTCCTGGTTCCTGGCTTTGGATCGGCGCAGCACCAGCCTTGCGCTCACTTGAGGAGTGAATCATCGGACGGAAGATCTTCCTCTTTGTATATCTGACTTTGTAATAAAAAATAAATAACTCTTAAAAAAATAAATAAAATGAATGAAAGAAATTTTAAATAAATAAACAAAAGATAAGAATTCAGAACTCTGAGGGTAACAAATGCTAGGCAGGGAGTGTTTGGAACACTTACCCGCTGTTGCCGGGAATGTAGATTACTGCAGCCACTGTGGAGAACAGGATGGAAAATTCCTAGAAAACTAGAAATATTTGCCATGTGATTTAGTAATCCCATTATTGTGTAGATACCCCCAAATATTTGAACACAGTGAGTTAAAGAGATACCCACGTTGCCATGTTTACAACAGCGTTGTTCACCAAAGCCAAGATCTGGAATCAACCAAGGTGTCCTCAGGTGAATGGATAAAGAAAATGTGGCTGTATGCACAAAAGGGTATTATTCAGCTATAAAAAAAATTTATAGAATGAAATTTTGTGATTTGCAGCAGAATGGACTCAACTGGAGATCTTCATGTTGAGTGAAATAAACCAAACTCAGAAAGACGAATGCCACATGTGTGCCTTGTATGTGGGAGCTAAGATTTAAAAAACAAGCAAAAAAAAAAAAAAAGAGAAATGTATGTTTATGACTTGTAGGAATATAGTTTTATACCCTTTTCAAACTAATGGTCAAGAATGTTATACCTTTATAGTTTTAGTCTCTGATTGCTTAAAAATTTACTGTATCTGAGTGACATGATCATTTCTGTTCATTGTTTTGATCACTGTTTATAGCTAATACCTGTATTCCTGCTAAACCAAGGTTATTTTTGCTTTTTACTTGTTAAACTTCTTGTTCTGTGGTACAACCCACTTCCCAGTTTTGGCTGAGTAATCACTCACAGGGTGTTAACTGGTTCTGTCTACCAGTTCTCAGCACTGGTACTGCTCACTCAGTGTTGTTGGTTTGATTCTTCTCAAGTTTCATGTGTAAGTTGTCTTAAAAATGCAGTTTTTGTTTTTTGATTGCCTCATTGAGGTTGAGTGTAATGATATTTTCTGATTTAGATGTTTTGAGCATAATGTTGAATTCAAGAGATACAAAGAGGCTTAAAATTAAACATTTTTGTCTTGTAGGTATTATTAACCCAAAGAATCCAAAGGAAGCTCCCAAATCCTTCAGCTTTGACTATTCCTATTGGTCTCACACCTCGGTGAGTGCCCTCATGACAGCATGCGCCCATCCTCTGGTCTCCTTTCCCTGTCCCTCTTTTCTCTAAGCCAGAGCAGGTGCAATTCTGTTTTATGTAGCTTATCTTTCATGCAGTGAATATTATCTGAAGAATGAGTTATTTTTCTCAGTATAGTATTTTGGCTAATACAAAATTTATGCATTCGCATATACATATAAAACTGATTTCATCTATACTAGATTTATCCTGATTTGGGCATCCATGGAAAATTTAGCAGTGTTTTAAGATTTTCATGATGGATATTGTTTGTGCCAAAATAAAGATTTCTTAGTGTGCTATAAATTTGAGTTAAATGTTGAGTAACTGGCCGGCAGAGTTGGAGTGACCATAGCATCCAACTTTTGTTCTTTTTCCTGCACTGAAGTAGAACCACACAGTTTTTGAACAGTTTGAAGGAACCAACAGATCCATGGAGCCAGCAGGTGGCTAAACATCTAGGAAGAGGGAGAGAGCAGGAGCGGCTGGGTCCTAAGCAGGATTTGACTCTGCTACTGCCACAGTCATCTTTGTTAACCATGGGCTTCTGTTTCCCCGGGGGATGTTTCAGCCTGTTCCTAAAGCCTTGGAAACAAGCCCTCTCACTGGGAGCCGTGTCGACTTGGAGTGGCCGTCTTGCTGGAGTGAGCTAACAAAAGGATTTCCATAGGAGGACTTAATCTTTGATTTTTTGATTCATGTTTTTGACTTGAAAAAATCTTGAAATTCCTGTGGATGGAAGGAGTGATATATTAAGATCATAGAAACAAAATGTAGTTTCAACTAAATGATAAATAAATAAATTGATGTCGATTATTTTATACAAGACTGACCTAGACAATTCTAATAACGTATGTGTTTAATGAGACAAAGAGACTCTGGGTATGGGAACTTTGTAAATAATGTATTGGAGGTGACTGTTCTAATTCTAAACACTTGTTTATTTTGAAGGCAATAAAATAAGCATGAGAAACAATATGAATAAAATATCTCTCTGCCTCGCTCTAATCCTGACAGCCTGAAGATCCCTGTTTTGCATCTCAGAATCGTGTGTACAATGACATCGGGAAGGAGATGCTGCTGCACGCCTTCGAAGGGTACAACGTGTGCATCTTCGCCTACGGACAGACCGGCGCTGGGAAGTCCTACACCATGATGGGCAAGCAGGAAGAGAGCCAAGCTGGCATCATCCCACAGGTAGACATGAGACTGGTAGAACATGCCTCTTCACTCCCGTTCTTAACTTGCCACAACACCTAGTAGGTTTTTTTTTGTTTTGTTTTGTCAAACATTTAGACAATTGTATGCAAACGACAGAGATAAACAGCCTGTTTCCCTTAGACAGACAGACGTGCACGAGTCTGCCTTTAGAAGTAGGAGAGAGAGTGTGTTAATAAACATTTTGTTCTGTGACTTTATGCTTTAGAAGCGTCATCAGTTCTTAATGCTCTGGATCTGAAGGGACATTCTGTTGATATTTTTGAAATCTCACTTGTAAGTTATCCCTAAAGAATATAATAACTTTCAGGTTTTGATTTTTAAAATGAAGATCTTTATATTTATTTGAAAGGCAGAGTAGGAAGGCAGGCCGGGAAGGAAGAAGAAACAGTGAGAACGAGTGAAAGAACATCTTTCAGAGACAAGTTCATTCTTAGCTGGCAGCCGCAGCCAGGTTTCGCCCCGCCAAGGCGGCAGCGAGGGATTCCACACTGGCCCCTCCGCGAGGGAGGCAGCCGCCCACGTGCGCGGTCCCCCGCCTCCCCAGGGACACTAGCAGTACAAGAAGGACGGGCAGCTGGGTTAGCCAGGTTGTAAACTGGCACCCCCACTGCAGTGTGAAATGCCAGTGTTGCCAGCTGCAGCTTCACCTACCGTACTTCATTAGCCCTTGGATTTGTTTTGCATTTCATTCAATATTATCTCTTTAAATTGAGATTTCTTTTGGTGAGATCAATTACTATCACTTCTTTTAATCTTTTATTGTTTTGGAAATGGTGAAGAGTTCTGACATTTCGAACTGGCTTTAGTCTTTAATAATAAAACCTGAGTTTTGTTGTATTAGTGATAATTGGAGCTAATTTCCAATTTTTTTATGATATACCTAATGCCACCATTTATATATTCTGAAAATATAAGGTAGCTTTTTTCTAATTTTTTACTGGACTATAAGTGTATTCAGCTATCTAATAGAAATAATCAGTTATGAATAAATAGGAAATTTTCAGGAAAAATTGAATGCATATGTTTTCTTCTGTTGATGTCTGTATGAAGACATGTTTGGGAGATATCCTTTGTGTACAGTGGCAGCAAAGACCACCGCACTGATCAGGGAAGACGTGACGTGGCACTGCCTGTGTGCCATGCACAGGCCTGCGGGCTTACAGATGGTAGCTGGTCTGCCTCTCCTCGTGGGGCCTTACGAGGCAGGTGCTTTCCTCACCCTGTTCTGTGGGCAGTGAAGCCAAGGCCCGCTTGCATTTGCTCCGGTGAGTGGCAGGGCTGGGATGGACGTGCTGCCCTGGAGCCCCGGAGTCTGCCTTCCCCGCTGCGCACTGCTCCTTCAGCAATAAAGGGACCCAGCTTAGAGCAAGTGCAGTGCGTGGCTGGGTCGGTTTGGCTTATTTTCTCCTGTTCTCCCTTGAATTTTAAATTATTTTTAATTCTAGTTCTAGTATGGCTTCATACATATTTCTTTTCTGGTGGATTTTTGGATCATTTTATATTAAAACAAAAGCTTTTTTAAAAATTATTTTAAAAATGTATTTATTTTTATTAGAAAGGCAGATTTTCACAGAAAAGGAAAGATAGATCTTCCATCTGTTGGTTCACTCCCCAGATAGCCACAGCTGCCACAGCTGAGCTGTTCCTGAAGCCAAGAGCCAGGAGCTTTTTCTGGGTCTCCCACGCAGGTGCAGGGTTCCAAGGCTTTGGGCCGTCCCTCAACTGTTTTTCCAGACTACAAGCAGGGAGCTGGCTGGGAAGTGGAGCTGCTGGAACATGCACTAGTGCCCATGTGGTTTGCCAGTGCTGCAAAATGGAGGATTAGGCAATTAAGCCATTGTACCAGCTCCAAGATTTATTTATTTTCATTTGAGAGGCAGTTTTTACAGAGAGAGAGAGGTTTTCCATTTGCTGATTTATTCCCCAAATGGCCGCAGCAGCTGGAGCTGAACTGATCGGAAGCTGGGAGCCAGGAGCTTCCTCTGGGTCTCCTATGTGGATGCAGGGCCAAGGTACTCAGGCCATCCTCCACTGCTTTCCCAGGTCATAAACAGGAAGCTGGCTGGGACGTGGAGCAGCCAGGATGTGGAGCGGTGCCCTTATGGGGTGCCGGCTCTGCAGGTGGAGAAGTAGTGTGCTACGCCATCACACTGGTTCCACGCAGAAACATTTTTAAAATGTCTGTTACTTCTTTTCATGAACGTGAAGAAGGGCGAGTGGGTGAGTGTGTGTGGGTTCACTGCTCGAATGGCGTGCAGACAGGAACTTGGTGTCTTCCAGCCTGTCCCAGGCAGATAGCAGGGCCCAGCTCCTGAGCCTCACCTACTGCCTTCCAGCAGGCATCAGCAGGAGGCTGGGTTAGAGCAGGAGCAGCTGGGACTTGAACCAGGAATTCCTGTGTGGGATGTTGGCATCCCAAGAGGTGACTTAGCACACTGTGCTGCAACACCCACCAAAGCATGTTTTAATTTATTTATTTTAAAGACGATTGTTATTTGAGACTGCCATTTGTAATAAACTTGAAATTCTTTCTAGACTTCTATAGAGTTGTGAACATATAGATCATAGGGTGAGTGCCTAAAGATATGGCAAATGAAGACATTTGAAATGTTTAATATTTTGTTAAAATACACCAATTTTACATAAACACTTGGGTGATGAGGAGGAGGTTTATAGTTTTCCAGATCTTGACACTTCCTGTTCGCACTGGGAAGTCTGTGTGGCAGAGTAGCGTCTCGCAGAAAGCGAGTCTTCAGACTTGGGAAGAGCAACGTTTACAGAGTTAGAATTAGTCTTGGGTGGATGTTGTGGCGTGGCACGATAAGCCGCCACCAGGCATGCCTGCGACCAACATCAGATGACTGGGATTGAGTCCCTCCTTTGCTTCTTCCCAGTGCTGGGAAGCAGGTGAGGGCTCAGGTTCCTGTGCTAACACGGGAGACCTGGATGGAGTTCTTGTCTCCTGGCTTCTGGCTTTGACCTGGCCTTGCCCAATCTATCGAGGGCATTTAAGGAGTGACTCAGCAAATGGAATCTCTTTTACTTCGGTGACTTTCAAATATGTGTAAATGAATGCCAGTGCTGTTTCATAATGAAGTGAGGCACCGCTTGTGATGCAGGTACTCCAGATGGACACTGGTTCAAGCACCAGCTGCTCCACTCCAGTCCAGTTAGGTCCCCAGTAAGGCACTTGGGGAAGCATCAGAAGGTGACCCAAGTATCTGGGCCTTGCTACCTGTGTGGGAGACCCGACCAGAGCTGCAGGCTCCTGGCTTCAGCCTGACCCGACCCTGACCATTGAGGCCAACAGCCTGGGCCTTGCTGCCTGTGTGGGAGACCCGACCAGAGCTGCAGGTTCCTGGCTGCAGCCTGACCCTGACCATTGAGGCCATTTGTGTGTGAGCCAGTGGATGGAAGATCTCTCTGTCTCCGTAATTCTCCCTTTCAAATAAATAACTTGACTTAAAAAGATTTTTAAAAATATTCTTTTATTTACTTTCTCCTAATAGTATGCTTGCATTTAGGCATATTGTAAATGATAGTATAAAATAAAAAATACTTTGGGTTGTCAGTAATAGTCACATACAAAATATGTAGTGCAGATGGAAGAGCCATCCCACACCGGTGTTGTACTAGGAGTTGAATTTAAACACATTTAAATAAACATGAAGATTTCCCTTATGTGTTCAATGACAAACTGTAAGAGATGCAGGGCCTGTGTTCTGGACCCCCTTTCCTTCTAAGGAGACACTACCGAGGTACTGTTGTTGAGTGAGGACAAAGATCAGATGATAAGAGCATGTCCAAAGCTTTAAAATGTGATCCAAAATATTAATTTTTCCTCGGAACTTATGGCATTCAAATTTTGAGAGACAAGGAGGAAAGGGGTTTTGCTAACTTGGTACTTGGTACATGTTTAATTTGTGGCTTCTCTGAATTGCTTCCCTAGTTATGTGAGGAACTGTTTGAGAAAATCAATGACAACTGTAATGAAGAGATGTCCTACTCTGTGGAGGTGAGTACAGCCCAGGAAGTGGGGGTCTCTGCACCCCCTGCCCTCCAGGGCTGCTCTCCCAAGGCTCGGGGTTACCACTGCTGCATCGCCCGCAACTGTGCCCGCAGTTTGGAACTTTGGAACTAAATGACTGTAGTGAATGGTGTTGCAATTAAACTTTGGTTTGTAGTCCATGCTTTCATTTTTAGTTTTTACCTTCACATGTGTCTTGGTCATTAGTACTTTTGAATTGTTAAATGACCTTTTAGAAAGAATCTGTGCTAATTAGATGAAGATTTCTCTTATGTAAATCTGAATTTCTTTACTAATGTGGTTGAGCAGCTTGTAGGTGATATATATTCCTGAATGCATTTTGAGATCACACTGTTTTTCTTATTCATTTGTGTGAACTGTTGCCCATTAATATTGTTAATGTTTTCTGAGAGATAGAGGTTTTTTTAAATATGTAGAATCAGGACTCTGCCCCACCCTGCCCCTGTTATAATCGTATATGAACTTGGAAAGTTATTCTCCAGGTCATGTTCGCAGTGGCCCTTTCAGGAAGGGATCTGTGGCATTACTTAGTGCACGTTGATTTATTGGACAAAATTCGCTCTGTGTGTGTGTGTTTAAAAATTTGTTTTAAATTGTGTCCTGTGAACATGAGCCTGCTGTCTTGAGAAGCTAAGATGCCTTTCAGGCAAATTCTAGACTCTGGAATTTTTTGTTTTTCTGTAAGACTCATACACTTCCGAGTTGATTCATTCAGTTTCTTTGATATTTTTCTTTATCTGTAAAGTGTTACATACATTTACAAGTTGTTAAGAGATATGTCTTATTATTATACTTCAAAAAGGGAATGTGCTACTTTAAGAATATTTATGCTAAAATGGATTTTGTAACTAGCCTGTTGGCTTTTGAACCAGACGAGAGAATATTTGATTATAGATGATGAAGAACACACGATTTTCCTTGCATTAGCCCGAGTGTACAGGCTTGACTGGAGTTCAGAATAGCGTCTTCGTTGATACTGTCATTTCTTGCCACATTTGTGGGGCCTGTGCTGTCTCCTTTCTTCCTTTCTGCCAAGGTAATTGTTGACTTTTGACTCTGCCTTCAGTGCCTTGTGTGCAGGGCTTTGCCCACCAGGGTCTCAGCTCTCTCCTTGACCGGGCAGCTTTCCTCTGCTCCAGCTCTCCTTTACGCTTGCCTTTGCTGTCTCCTTGAGCGGGCAGCTTTCCTCTGCTCCAGCTCTCCTTGCCTGCTTGTATTCCCTTCTTCCATTATGCCAGTCGTGTTCTGCCGGTCTTTGTGTTTGCTGTCAGTCTCCTTTGCTGGACTGGCAAGCGAACGGGGCAGGGGCCTTTGGTTGGTTGTTGGTGTCTGCCAAGCACTTGCAGCAGTGCCTGGCAGATAACGGTTGGCAGGGAGTTTCCTGTTGTAATTGGTTTAAAAGCCAAAGCAGCAGTGATGACTTGGGACCGATTCCCAGGGAGGAGCAGAGCGCAGCCGCCCTCTCTTGGGTCATCCGGGACCTCTGGCTCTCCCAGAAGACCCTCTGTCTTCCTGGGATTCTGTGTATACATTTAGGCACCGCAGAATGATGAGGCATCACACGACATCCTCGGGTGACTCGCTGTTAGTGTTTGTTGTGTCGTTGTTTTACACTCCTGATGGGTGATTTTATCTTTTAGGGTTCTCAGTTTTTGTAAACTGACATTTAAGTCCAGTGTGAAATCAGACTTAAAGAAAAGGCAATAGAAATGGAGATGTGGTTCCATTTTAGATACTCTGTAGAAATTTAAAAGTGTAAAGTGTGTTATCTGCTTGAGTGATTCAGAGGGTCAAGCTCCTGGGAGAAGCACTTGGTGCGCCCTGCACCCTGCGCCCTGCGTCCTGCGCCCTGCGCCCTGCGCCCTGCGTCCTGCGCCCTGTGCCCTGCGCCCTGCGCCCTGCGCCCTGCGTCCTGCGCCCTGTGCCCTGCGCCCTGCGTCCTGCGCCCTGCTTTGCAAGTCTGACGTTATTGATTTGTAAGCAGCAGAGCCATCCTTGATGATCACATTCTTGAGTGAAGGCCGCTTGGCTGGTTTGGTTTATTTACCCGGCAGGAGTAACTGCCGCCCCCACCAGTGCGTGCAGCTTGGCAAGAGCAGTCTTAGTTCCTGTGGGCAGACCTCTGGTGGAACCTCGTTGGTTGTTTGGTAATCATGGATTTTAAAGCATGGCAGCTGTTGTGGTAAATTAAATGTTTAATTTCTGTAAGTTAAAAAATGGTAGCCTGGGGTAGGTGTGTGGCCCCATGGTCAAGAGGCCGCTAGGAGGCTGCCATCCCACAGTCAGGGCCTGGGTTCAAGTCCTGCCTCTGTTCATGACTTGGGCTTCCAGCTGGCGCAGGGGGTGATGACGCAAGGCGTTGTTGCCCTGCCGTCAGGTTGGGGACCTGGTTTGGGCTCTCCGCTCCTGGTTTTGGCCAGGCCCAGCTCCTGTTGAAATCATCTGAGACATGAACCAGCTGATGGGAGCTCTGTCATTCTGTTGGGGTGTGTATGTGTGTGTGTACACCCTCTCAAATAAAATGAATAATTAGTTTTTGTTTAAAGATTTATTTATTTTTATTGGAAAGTCAGATATACAGAGAGGAAGATCTTCCATCCATTGATTCGCTCCCCAAGTGACCACAACATCTGGAGCTAAGCTGATCCGAAGTCAGGAGCCTGGAGCCTCTTCCAGGTCTCCCTAACAGGTGCAGGGTCACAAGGCTTTGGGCCATCCTTTATTGATTTCCCAGGCCACAAGCAGGGAGCTGGATGGGAAGTGGAGCAACCAGGATATGAACCAGCACCCATATGGGATCCTGGTGCATTCAAGGTGAGGACTTCTGCCACTAGGCCAACGCACCAGGCCCATTTTATTTTTATTTTAAAGCAGTGGTAGTCTAATGTATCCATCACAGCGATAGAACGGTCCTGCTGAGGGGACAGAGTTTAGGATATACTCTTTGAGGCTTCCACTTTGCCTCCAAGTGTTAGACGTTCTTACCACTCTCATTGATCAGCCATCACCACTCCTGGTGGCCGCTCTTATCCGTAGTTAGAGACAGTGCGGTTGGAGAGTTGTGGTCACCAAGCTCTCTCGGCCTCTCTGCTCTGCAGTGTTGATGCTATTTGTTAGTCCTGTCTTGGGTAGAAGTCTTACTTCCAAGCTCTTGGAGTGACCTTAGTGTAAGTGCGTTCCTGACAAAGATGAATTTGAGAAAATTTAGATAGCTGGTAAATTGCTACCAAAGTATGTTTCTAATGAAGTAGCAACCACTGTGTGCCAGAGATTCCGTGTTCGCTCCTTCCTCCTGCGGAAGTCAGAAAGCTATACCTAAAAGCAAAGCAAAATGAAAACATTTGTTTGCCAGGGCTGTGGCAGAGCACAGTAAGCTTCCACTTGCAGTGCTCACATCTCATATGGGCTCTAGGTTGAGTTCCAGCTGCTCCACTTCTGGTCCTGCTCCTTGCTAATGTGATGGGGAAAGCAACTGAAGATGGACCCCTACATCTATGTGGGAAACAGACAAGAAGCTCCTGGCTTTGGCCTGGCCCGGCCCTGAGTGGGATGAGACAGTGGATGGACGAGTTCTCTCTCTCTGAAAGGTGGGGTTACAGAGACGGAGACCGTCTTCTGTTGGGTAGCTTTGTCCCATGCACTGCCACAGCATGGGCTGCCAGGCTGAAGCCGAGGGCCTGGAGTTTCATGTAGGTCTCCCACAAGAGTGGCAGGGGCCCAAGCGGGCCGCTGGAAGGGAGCTGGGTGGGAAGTGGGGCAGCTGGGACAGGAATATGAACTGGTGCCCATATGGATGCTGGCATCTTAGCTGGCAGCTTTGCCCACCTCACCATGCTACAGCACTGGCCCTAGGAGGCTGGAGCTTGTCTGCACAGTGCAGTATTGGCCCCCCTGCGAGGGCGGGGCTTGCCGATCCCTAACTATGAGCTTTTGATAAAGGTACAAGAAAATCTTTTACAGTATGTGATTTCTTTTTCCAATACTCTAATTCCCTTCGATGTGCTCCTAGGTGAGCTACATGGAGATTTACTGCGAGAGAGTACGAGATTTGCTGAATCCAAAGAACAAGGGCAACCTGCGAGTGCGTGAACACCCGCTTCTGGGACCGTACGTGGAGGACCTGTCCAAGCTGGCAGTTACTTCCTACACAGACATTGCGGACCTCATGGATGCGGGGAACAAGGCTAGGTATGGGGGAAGGAAGGGAGTGACTGGGTCCAGCGCGTTTGGAGGCCTTTCGCCCCTGGTTAGGGGTTGGAGGCTGCATGTGTAATTAGAGACTTGCCAGACTTGGGACCCTGTGATCCTGGGCTCTGCTAGAGGGCCGAGGGCTTCAGTGTCTCATCAGAACATTGGATCGCCAAGCCTGCCAGGTTTACTCTGGGCTTTGATCAAGTCGTGGCAAAATGTTCCTGTCTGTGGTAGTAACTGATGCCAGGACAGAGGAGCCCCTAATGGTACAGTTGAGTGCCCCAGGGTTCTGAGAGGCCCGCCGGAGCGGGGGCGGTCCCGCTGGGGCTGTTGCTGGAGTGGATGGGGCCTGATGGGCTCACAGATGAGGCAGCGCTGAGGACTTGTGTGGCAGTCCTGCAGTCTGCGAATCAATTTACAACTACTGATGCTGTTATGCTCATAATGTGAGACTGCTGTCCATTTTAACTCTTCGCTGGGAACCCTCTTGTCATATGGTCCCTTTTTATGTAGGACCGTGGCTGCTACCAACATGAACGAGACGAGTAGCCGTTCCCATGCCGTGTTTACCATTGTTTTCACCCAGAAGAAACAAGATTCTGAGACCAACCTTTCCACAGAGAAGGTAGGACAATGGCAGTCTCTACGCTTGAATTCTGAGGGATGGAGTTTTCCTAAAAATGCATTTGCTTATTTCAACGGAGAAAGAAATCTTTGCTCTGTTGGTCCAACCCATAAACACTCTAGGCCTGGGCCAGCGGAAGTTGGGAGCCACGAGTTTCATCCCAGTCCCCCACGTGGCACAAATTGATGTACTTTCCCTTCCTGGGTACAGTGGCAGGAATTGGTTCAGAAGTAGGGGTGCAGGCCCAGCGCAGTAGCTTAGTAGCTAAAGTCCTTGCCTTGCATGTGCTGGGATCCCATATGGGCACTGGTTCCTATCCTGGCTGCTCCACTTCTCATCCAGCTCCCTGCTTGTGGCCTGGGAAGGCAGTTGAGGACGGCCCAAAGCCTTGGGATCCTGCACCCGCATGAGAGACCCGGAAGAAGCTCCTGGCTCTTGGCTTGGGATCAGCTTAGCTTTGGCCATTGTGGCCACTTGGAGAGTAATCCAGCAGATAGAAGATTTTTCTCTCTCTCCTTTCTGTAAATCTGACTTTGCAATAAAAATAGAACAAGTCTTAAAAAAAAAAAAAGGAAGTGGAGGCGCTAAGACTCAAGCTGGCATTCCAATATAGGATGCAGGCATTCCAAGCAGCAGCTTAATATGCAGTACCACAACGCCTGTCCCAAGCGTGAGGATTTCAAAAACTCCCTTTTGCTTCTGTCCCTACTAAGTAGACGGGAGGGTGAGGTGCTCGTGTTCATTGTAAGCTGTTTAGTAGCCTGTGCTTAGCATTTTTTTTTAAAGATTTATTTTTATTATTTTTTCATTGGAAAGGCAGATATACAGAGAGGAGAGACAGAGAGGAAGATCTTCCGTCTGATGATTCACTCCCCAAGTGAGCGCAACGGGCCGATACTATGCCGATCCGAAGCCAGGAGCCTCTTCCGGGTCTCCCACGCGGGTGCAGGGTCCCAAAGCTTTGTGCTGTCCTCAACTGCTTTCCCAGGCCACAGGCAGGGAGCTGGAAGGGAAGCGGGGCTGCCGTGATTAGAACCGGTGCCCATATGGGATCCCAGGCGTGCAGGTGTGCTTAGTATTTTAACTCCATTCTACAACAAATTTTCAGCATGGGTTCTTAAATGAGACCACAAGGTAGAAAATGGAGTTAAGAAAAAACAGTCTGTGTGGCTGGCATGGTGGCTAACAGGCTAAGCCTCTGTCTGCAAGTACTGGCATCCCACGTGAGTGCTGGTTTGTGTCACTGCTACTCTGCTTCCCATCCTCTCGGTCTGGGAAAGCAGTGGGAGATGCTTGGATTTGGGTCCTTTGGCCCCTACAACATGTGGGACAACCGGAAGAAGTTCTAGGGTCCTGGCTTTAGATCAGCTCAGCTCTGGACACTGTGGCTATTTGGGGAGTGAATCAGTGGGTGGAAGATCTCTGTCTCTTCTCTTTCAAGATTGAAAAGTGCATTTCCTAGAGAGAGAGAGAGATCTCGGTTGTTGGCTCACTCCCCAAATGGCTGTAATGTGTAGGGCTGCACCGGCCTGAAGCCAGGGGTCAGGAGCTCCAGCTGGGGCTCCTGAGTGAGTGGCAGGGGTGCAGGCCCCTGACTCATCGTCCACTGCTCTCCACAACACTTGAGCAGGAAGCTGGATTAGAAGTAGAGCAACTAGAACTCTAATTGTGACTCTGATTTGGTGAGTCAAGCTCGACGTAACCCACTCTGCCCCAACTCCAGCCCCAGTTCTCATTTTCTCTAGTGGGCATATGTTGAATACATTACAGGGAGATTACCTTAGGTGTTTACTGTGTGTATGTGTGTGTGTGTGTGTGTGCGTTTTTTAAAGATTTACTTGTTTTAAAGATAGGATTCAAGAGAAGGAGAGGGAGAAGTCCCTCTCAATGGCCACAATAGCCAAAGCTGGACCAGGATGAAGCCAGGAGCCTGTGGCAGGCAGGGACCCAGGCCTGGGCCATCCTCCACTGCCTTCCTAGGCATGTTTGCAGAGTCCTGGATCTGTAGTGGAACAGCTGGGACTTGAACTGTGCCCATAGGAGAGGCTGGTATTACAGCTGGCAACTTGATCTGCTTTGCCATACACTAGCCCCTGCACTATTTATTTTGAATCATGAAGATTTTAATTGTTGATATTTGAAAAAGTTAGAGGGAGGGAGGAGAGAGAGACTTTTCCTTTCACTATTTCACTCCCCAAACGGCCCAAGCCAAGATCCAGGAGCTTCATGCAGGTCTCCCACGTGGGTGACAGGGACGCTAGTCCTCAGGCCATCTCCCGCTGCTTTCCCAGGGGCGTTGTTAACAGGGTGCCGGATGGAAAGTGGAGCTGCCAGGACTCAAACCTGTGCCCACATGGGATGCTGGCGTTAGCTTAACCCAGTGTGCCACAATGCAGCCCTACAAAGTTATTTTTAGATTTGTCTGTGTTGTGCATATCAACGGCTCATTCCTTTTCATTCTGGTAAATATTCCGTTGCTTAAGTACTCTATCTGGGGGTGAACATCTAAATTATTTCCAATTTTTGGAGCTTTTGGGTTAGGGTTAGGGCTATTTCCAATGTTGGAAGCTTCCCTAAATATTTGTGTATGAATCTTTGTGTGACTATTTATTTTGTTTCTCTTGGTAAATACCTAATTGAGCCTTGAGGCAGGTATACATTTAACTTTTTAAGGAACTGCCGAGGTGTTTTGGATCATCTTGCATTCTCATTAGCACTATGTGAGAGGTCCAGTTTATCAAAACTTCATTTTTTTGAAAGATGATTTACTTAATTATTTGAAGGGCAGTGAGGGAGCCCCAGGGAGAGATCTTTCATTCTCTGGTTCCTTCCTGAAGAACCCTCAGCAGCAGGGCTGGGCCAGCAGGCCACCCTCACGGCTTCGTCTTCCGTGTTCCGTTTAGTGTGACGATGAGTTTCATATATATTCTTATGACGCTCCGAAGTAAAACACGAAGGTGTTATTTTTGTGTTAAAGTTGTTTGTTTTGAATGAAGATACTTGCAGTAGGTGTGTAGTGGACGGTCTTCAGTGTGTGTCCATCTTCTTGGGTTATATCCAGGAACTATGCTAAGTCTAATTTTCTCTGTTATCTTGATCTTTTAAAAATGTCTTGCCGTTAAATGTTTTCTGCTTCTTCCTTGCTTGCTTTCTAACTGCCCCTCTTCTTGTTCTTTCCCAGGTCAGTAAGATCAGCCTGGTAGATCTAGCGGGAAGTGAGCGAGCCGATTCAACCGGTGCCAAAGGAACTCGACTAAAGGTATCTGTATTAGCAGACAAGTGGAGTAGTCGGTGAATGTTCTGTAACGCGGGTCAGCAAGGAGGGCCAGTAGTCCAGAACCAGGCTGCTTCTTGCCCGAGTGCATAAAGCGAAACACAGCAGCTCCTACTTATTTACGTGTTATCTGTGACCACTTGGGTACCAAATTGGCAGAGATTTGAAAGACTGAACAGCCCCCAGATGTAATTTTAAATGAATTTTATGATTTTTATTTGGAAGGTAGAATTAAGCAGAGAAGAAAAGACAGTTTCTCTGTCCACTGGTTCTGTCCCTCAATGACTGCAGTGTCCAGAGTTGGGCTGATTGAAGCCAGGAGACTGGAGGATTGTCTGGGTCTCCCATGTGGATGCAGAGGCACAAGGACCTGAAGCTTCCTCCACTGCTTTCACAGGCCATGCTTAGGGAGCTGGGTTGGAAGTGGAGCAGCCAGGACATGAACTGGTGGGATGTCAGCACCACATGACGAGGCTTAGCTCACTATGCCATAACACTGGCCCTTAAACATATTTTTGTCTAGCTGTTTACAGAAAAAAAATTTGTGAATTCCTGATCTGTAATTTCATGAAGAAATACTGTATAGTACAAAAGCTAGGAAGGACTTCATGATCGAGATGAGAGCAGAATTGCATTCTGAGAATTAGGCAAGATTTGGAAGTTGGAGACAGTGATGGGAACAGTCTGCCAAGATCCAGCTGAGAGGACAGGCATGGACTTGGAGAGACACTGCTTTGTAGGAGCAGAAACTCCCCGCTGGTGGGCGAAGGTGGCCTCTAAGAGAACCCAAAGCTCAAATGTCCTTTGATGCTTTGGGCCTGTGAGTCCGGCTGTGATGGCAGCGTGTAAGCAGGTAGAGAAGAGGAGTCTGGGGACCAGAGAACCTGTCACAACGAGCCCATATGAACATTTGGCAAATGGGCGCTTGTTCTCTAGATAATGTGACAGCAGTAGACATTTTTGTCATAATTATGATCATGTTTGCTTTTATTTCAGGAAGGAGCAAATATTAATAAATCTCTTACAACTTTGGGCAAAGTAATTTCCGCTCTGGCAGAGGTGGTAAGTTGTAAACTTCATCACTTAGGGGAATTTGTCTTCAGCAGGCATACTTGGTGAAATGTCCTTACAGCGCTCTTACACGAGCTTACCTTTCTACTTTTACAGCCTTTCAGATAAGACACTAAGTAAGCCAGAGTTAGACTTTGTAACGAAAGAGATTAAGGAGAATGAAAGTAAAAATAAAGTTGTGTAAAGGCTAGAGGGAGAACCCAAAGTTTGGTGAATTTATGGTTTGCAAAGCAGAGTGACAGAGGAGGTGGGATGTGGGTGGCGGGGAGAGAGTGGGCTCAGGCCCTTGGGTGTCACCTGCTGTTTTCCCGGGGACATTAGCAGGATGCCGGACCAGTAGCACAGATGCCAGAACTTGAACTGCAGCTTAACCTGTGGTGCTACAGTGCCTGTCTGCACTTCGTATTCATAAAAACCAAGTGTATTGATTGTGTGTTCTCATCGTAGCATTTGGAGTCCATTGGGCAGTTTGGCCTTGGTGAAAGCTATCGGCTTGGAGGCCAGTTATACAGTCATGAGGCACTTCAGGTCAGGCTGTGCTTTGAGAAGTGGGTCTTTGGGCACGTCCCTCATGTCAGAGTAGACTTGTACAGCCACACTGGGCATAGGACGGTCAGCTGATGGAATACATCTGCTTATATGTGAGGCTGCCTCCAGTAGATCTGGCATTTGCCTCTCAGCCAACTTTTATGACCAGGGAGAGAATATTCTACAGCGACAGCCAAAAGCATAGGACTGTCCATCAGAAGCCGTCACTGATGGTCAGCATCAGGTGCGTATGTGACCATGCTGGCCTGGCAGCGCAGCGGGCTTGTTGACCCTAGAATCGCTGTTAGTGCGTGAGGAATGCGTTGTGCCAAAACGCTAAAGTGTGATGTTGTCGGGTTGTGGGATGTTTTCAGCTCCGTTGCAGTCTTTGGTACTCCTGTTAGAAGTGTGGTCTGTTAGCCTGTGGAACTGTGTCATAAAACAGTTAAAAAAAAAAACAAGATGAGACCACTGAGATGTGGAAAGGGGTGAAAACTATGTATAGCAAAAATACTTGGGCAGTGACTTCTATATCATCCTCAACGGGTGTGGTTTCCACTACAAAATATGTATGTTGGATTCCTATACTTTCTTCTTCTTCTTTTAAAGATTTATTTATTTTTATTAGAAAGTCAGATATACAGAGAGAAGGAGAGACAGAGAGGAAGATCTTCCGTCTGATGATTCACTCCCCAAGCAGCCGCAACGGCCTGAGCTGCGCTGATTTGAAGCCAAGAGTCTGGAGCCTCTTCTGGGCCTCTTTAGGCCATCCTTGACTGCTTCCCAGGCCGCAACAGGGAGCTGGATGGGAAGCGGGGCCTCCGGGATTAGAACTGGCGCGTGCAAGGCAAGGAGTTTAGCTGCTAGGCCATCACACCGGGCCGGTATACCTTCTTCATAATTCCTGTCCACACAACTGGTGCAGCTGGGGACCTGGATCACATTGCTAATCCTCAAAGTTTCCTTTCTGCTAATTATTCTTTATAAAAGAAGAAGCACAATCTGCATTATGAAATTCACATTCAAGATGAAAAGAATATAGGGACATGTATGGATTTAGTGACGTCTCCTCAGTGAGAATTGGAACACTAATATATCTTAAGTATCACATTTTTATCATATTAACAGAATAACTTTTTTTCTTTAAAAAAAAAAAAAACCCAAAGTACAATGTAGACTGTTGTGTAGTCGAATGCCGTTATAAGGCGCTTGACTGCAGTTTTATTCTGTCTTGTTCTTTCACAGTAGAATATTAAAACTAAAACAGTTTTTCTGTAAGTGGCTTAATCAGCTTAGAAATTGAGAAGTATTAGTCACTGTATGCTCTAACTTATTGTAATACCTTGTTTAATTTGCTGTGACAATTAAATGCTTCCTCGCTTGTCTGTCAGAAGTCATAGTTCATGGCTTAAAATGTCGGCAGAGCATTATGTTACCGTTGCGCTTACCCTGCGCTCTGGTTTTCTCCCCTCAATGCTCTCGTGCGCAGGACAACTGCACCAGCAAGGTACGGTGGCGCCGGTGGACGAGCTGGCCAGTCGGGGCTGAGCGCCGCGGGGTTCGGTCTGAGCAGCTGTGTGGATGCCTAAGCAGAAACCAAACTGTGAAAGAATCCTTCTGTCGTTTGTTTTCTGGCTCTGGTCTGTTTGGAGTGACCATGAGTCATCAGGCTTCACACCAGAATTAGTTTAGGAACATGATGTGCTGTGGAGAAGGAATTAGCAGTAAAGGAACCAGAGAGAAATTGAGGAAGCTTTCGGTGTGAGGACGCTTCTGCTGGTGACGTCCAGGGCGTCTCTGGACAGTTCCACAGGAAAGGGCAGTAAACTCAGTGTGGGAAGGGTAGCTTCCCCAAACATAGCTGGATTATTACAGATTTGATTACTCTTCTTTATGCTTTGTACTGTCATGTCTTCATGTCTTGTTTTTTACCATGGACGGTCAAGGATAATTTTCTTTTTTAGATTTATTTTTATTTTTTATTTTTTTGGAAAAGCAGATTTACAGAGAGTATTAGATACAGAGAGAAAGATCTTCCGATTGCTGGTTTACTCCCCAAGTGGCTGCAATGACCAAGGCTGAGCTGATCTGAAGCCAAGTGCCAGGAGCTTCTTCCGGGTCTCCAACACGGGTGCAGGGTCCCAAGGCTTCAGGCCATCCTTGACTGCTTTCCCAGGCCACAGGCCCGGAGCTGGATGGGAAGTGGAGCTGCTGGGACATGAACCTTTGTCCATATGGGATCCTGGCGCGTGCAAGGCTAGGACTTTAGCCACAAGGCTACCACACCTTATCGGGGTCTCCCGTCCTGCGGAAGAAATCACCCAACACTGGAGAGCGTCTCAGAGGCACTTTATTCAGACCTTCCGTTAAAACCATTATGTCCGTTAATTTCATTACACAGAAGCCCCTCCCCCGCCAGGCCCCCCCCCCCCCCCCCCCCCCCCGTATATGTCAATCCTGTCCAGTCAGCTTAAAGATCACTAAGGCACACCAATCAGGGCAAAGGGCCAATCACAGGGCAGGAAATTGTCAGTGCTCCCAACATCTCCCCCTTCTTGTTTTATTAAGCAAGGGACCGTGCCTGTCTTAGGTGTTCCGAGTTTGGGCTCCCCTTACTGTCATGGGCTAACCACATGGCTAGGAATGTGGCGCCTGTCTTAGGTTGGTGAAGCCATATCGGATACTTACCCGTCTCTGGCTACCGGTCCAGCATGCCTAGCCAGACTTCTGGGGATTCTCTGTTGTGAAGGGCAAGCACAGCTTGCACTAGCAGCTGCTGTTATTGCTGCTGATGCTGTGCTCAAGGATGAAGCATCCACAGACCCCAAAGAATGATATAAGGCCCAGGGCTACTATACCAGCCCATTGGTGTGCAAAGGAAAGATCCTTTAGTATGCAATTTGTCCATTGCTCTACCGTGGCAATCTCTACTTTGGTGCTATTTATGGCTATAATTTGGGATCTTAGTTCCTAAGTCAAATTATCAAATCGTATGGACCAGCTTCCATTAGGGGATAGCATAGCGGATAACTCTCTGGACAAATTCAATGCTCGGGAACCATTGGTGACAATAGAGGGAGTGACACACATTCCAGGTAGACTAAGCACACAGGAGGTCCCCATATGATGGAGCAGTTGTTCCACTGCCTCCTGCAAAAGATCCACTCTCTGATTAACAAGTAAAACACCTGTTTTAAAATGTATGATGAATAGAACCTAAAGATCATTTTCCTTCACCTGAACGGGCATGGGAATAAGCTGTGGAATGCGTACCAGCACCGCAGTACCAGAGCATTCCAACACTGGTTAAGGGCTCACTTAACTACAGAGCAACTCAAAAGGGTAACATTAGCACTCATGGAAACAATACACATAAATGGAGCTTGTACACATACATAAATAGCATTATAGATAACATCACAGCTGCAATTAACTTTAACATCTTCTTCCCATATTCTAGAACTATTACTACTATAATTACAATTTTTTATCACTACCTTATCATTAAATACAAAAGCTGATATATCTGAACACCCACCCCTACTAGTGCAAAGTACCCAGGCATTCCAAGGCTGAGCAGAAACAGATTGTTACCATATATATAGTTATACCCCACAAAGGTGGAATTTGAACAGGTAGGAAACAAATTGGTCACAGCAAGACCAGGTGCTACTCTTCTAGGAGTCACGGTACTTTGACAGCCAGTCCATCCTGGGGGCCATTTCCAAGGCCCTAGACAGCAAGGCAATATTTGCTGCACCCCTTTTATAGTGCCGTTGCATTCGCTCCTCAGGCACAGTTGGGGAACTGATGCAGTCATAACCATTGCTTCTCACTGGAAGGTGGATTGGCCACGCTTTCACTATCGCCCATAGCTGGAGATTCTGGCTGTCTCCTCTCGGTATCTGAATGAACATCAGGCTGGTCAGCATCCACCACGTCCACAGGTTCATCTTGCTCCGGCTTTCTTATCACTCTCATCAAACGTTCTGGCACCCACACCGGTCCGTCAGAATCCTGCAGAAAAATACAAACCACTCCTCGCATCCGTCGTAATATTGGATGCGGGCCCATCCATCGTTTTGTTAAAACATCCTTCCACATCACCCAATCTTTGCAGGGGCCTGCGCCAACAGCGTGGCATTCGGTGGCAGAACGGCCATTAAAATCCAAATAAAAAATTAAAAATATAAGTAACTAAAGCCAATTGATCTTTAGGACTATTGGGATATAGAGTGGCTCCTACTCCCCCTTTTTGTTTTATTAATAATGCTTTGAGAATTGCATGGGCACGCTCTACCATGGCCTGGCCCGTGGGATTATATGGGATGCCAGTGGAATGTTTAATTGCAAATTCAGAACAAAACTTATCTGCCTAAGTGCTCCCATTGTGGCAAGGTCAAAAGGCCCTCCTCCAGAAACCACGGGGTGATCCTCTGCAGTTTGCAAAAACGACAGTACTGTCAGCAGTTTCTGCAGTAAATGCTGCATGTGCGCTGAAGAAGTTAAATTGCCCATATTTCTAACACCTTTGCTCATCGCTAACCCGCGAACTCGACTGGTCGCTAAACCACGAACTTGACGTGCATGTCCCTGCCTAGTGCGGCTTCCAGAGCAAAAGGCTCAGGTGTAAACGAATTCCCGCTGTAAGCGGCTTCCTGAGCGATCTTCTCAGCTGCTTACCTTCCTGGTGCTCACCAGCTGACTTCTATTCGAGTCACGGCACCAGTTATCGGGGTCTCCCATCCCGCGAAAGAAATCACCCGACACTGGAGAGCGTCTCAGAGGCGCTTTATTCAGACCTTCCGTTAAAACCGTTATGTCCGTTAATTTCATTACACAGAAGCCCCTCCCCCGCCAAGCCACCGGCTTATATGTCAGTCCTGTCCAGTCAGCTTAAAGATCACCAAGGCACACCAATCAGGGCAAAGGGCCAATCACAGGGCAGGAAATTGTCAGTGCTCCCAACAACACCTGGCCCCCTAAACTAAAAAGTTTCTTAAAGCATCCCAACACAGCAGTCAGCAAAACATGAATAGCTGTTATCTACACAGCATTTACATTAATTTTACTTTCAGAGAGTATAATTTCTTCCATTTGATCACTACCATTGGCACTTTTTGCTTTATCTTGTGGTATATATGTGACATGCATATATGTGTGTGCATGTAATTCATTTTAGCATTTTACGACTCTCCAGAGTAGCACAGCCCCTTCCTTCGTCCCACCTGGTGCTGCGTGCAGTCTGTAACACAGTTTTCTTTAGAATGTTGCAGATGGGTATCACTTATGAGGGCATGTAACAGCCACTTGATGGTTTGATTGCTTGTTAAGACATTCTCTTAAAGATTTATTTATTTAACATGAAAGGCAGAATTAGAGAGAGAGAGGGAGTGACAGATAAAGATCTCTGTCTGCTTGTTCACTCCCCACATGGCCACAGTGGCTGTAGCTGTGACCGTCTTAATCTGGGAGCCAGGAGCTCTTCTTGGTCTCCCCCGAGGGTACAGCATCCCAAGGCTTTGGGCATCCTCTGCTGCCTTCCCCGACGATGGGCAGCGGGCTGCAGGACTCAGCTGATCCTCGAGTTAGTCAATTGAGCCATCTTGCTGGACTCCAAGGAACTCCGTTAATTTAAATGACTCGCTTCTTTATGCCCAATCTTGGATGAACAGAATTCATTTTGCCCCTACATACTACATAATACATTTATTATGTAGTATTAGTGTTATTAAGTAATTATTCTTAATTTGTTAAGTGTGATAATGATTCTTAAGTTTCTTTTCTCTTTTCAAAAAGTCTGTTAAAGATACCTAAAATATTTATAGATGAAGTATTGGTCTTGCTTTAAAACACAGATACTAAAGACATTGACTAGAATATTAAATAATAGTATTGTATTGCTGTGATATCTCCTGTATTTGGTCATTGCAGTCTGTATTTGAGAATACCCATGTCTGTTGAGGTGTTTAGGGATATGTCCATGTCATGTGGGCAACTTACCCGGAATTGTTTCAGAAATATTGAAGAGTGTTTGGGGGAATAATTGAAAAGTAATGGGTAAAAGAAAAGCAAACAAACAAAAAAGCAAAAAAAAAAAAAAATCCTGCTGAAGCGGTTGAATCTGCCTGGCGGGTTTGCCCAGCTCTGAGGACTGTTCTCTTGGTTTTACATGCCCTACCCATTTTTCAGAAGGAAAAATGTTGCATGGTTTTAGCTGTTGTGAAGAATTGAAACAATGCTAAATCCTCATATGACTGGCTTCTCTTGTCATTCGATTTACTTGGGGATTTTGCAAATTTCTCTCCTCCCCTCCCCCTAGCACTAAGGCCGTTCTTTTCTTTTCAACAGAGTAAAAAGAAGAAGAAAACGGATTTTATTCCCTACAGGGATTCTGTACTTACTTGGCTTCTTCGAGAAAATCTAGGTTTGTTGAGTGCTGGGGAAAGCTCCCTGTGTGGTTGTCGTTTTAAAGCTGCTCGTGGATTGCTGTTGGAGGTTGTCGTCTGTTTGGGGGAAGAATAATCTCTAGGTGTTGACACTACTGACTTGCGTGTCCCAAACTTGCTTGTGTTTTCCCCCCTGATTTCGAGTAGTTGGGTTTGCTCCCTGTTAAATATTGCTCTTGTTCTGGGTGTGAACCGTGTGTTTCTAACACCTCGCACCCAGTTAAAGTTCCTTGGTAAATCCGTGCTTATTGAGGTACCTGGAGTCGGACATAGCCAGCCATATTCCTTCTGGTGCATGCTTTTCAACTTCGTGTCACTGTGCCTTTATTGACCGCTGCTTAGCCAGGAAGAAGCAGTCAGGTCATGGTGACAGAGGGAAGAGGGTGAGAATGGGCTGTTGGGCTTAACCCCGCACCTGCTCTTTGCCCCTTGCTAAGGGCAGTTTCGGTGGGGTGGCTGAGATCTAGATTGGAGTGAGTTCAGGAGTAAGGACAGACGTGAATGGAACCCAGACACCACAGTTGGAGGATGACGGTGGCTCACAAGGCACCACTGAAGAAAACCACTGACTTTTGATTAAATAGTAGGATTTGAGATCATGCCATCAGATTTTATCCGCTAAATGAAATTCATTCTAAATGGAGTGATTTGAGATATTTGTGCTTCATCTCCCTAGGTGGCAATTCTCGGACTGCAATGGTCGCTGCTCTGAGCCCGGCAGACATTAATTACGATGAGACCTTGAGCACTCTGAGGTACCCAAGCTTGCCCGTCGTGGCTGAATAGGTCGCACTGCCATCATGCATCATTTTGTTAGACCAAAGTGTGCTTAGGCTGTGTGTAGTCATTCATGGAGATGATAACCTCTCATAACATAATACATGGGAAAAAGGATCTTTGTTATAATGCAATTTACTTATTGATAGTTTGTGATTTTTTTTTTTTTGCCTAACATTTATTTATTTTACTTGATAGAGTTATATATATAGAGAGATCTGCCATCTGTTTGTTCATTCCCCAAATGATTGCAGCTGCTAAAGCTGGCTGATCCAGAGCTGGCTGATCCAAAGCTGGGAGTCGAGCTTCTTCTAGGTCCTCCGCTTGGATGCAGGGGCCCGCGGCCCTGCCGTCCTCAGCTGCCTTCCCAGGCCACCAGCAAGGAGCTGGGTCAGAAATGGAGAAACTGGGACTCAAACTGGTGCCCATGTGGATGCCTGCACCACTGGCAGAGAATTAGCTTGCAATACCACCTCACCTGCCCCTAAGTTGCAGTTTTTCATTGGAGGATAGGAACTTTTTCACAGGAAATAAATTAAAATTATTCAAGTGAGATTTTTCAGATAATAAAAAATTTATCTCCAACCATTCATTTCTATAAAAATGAATGTTTCCTTCTTGTGTTTGTAGTCACTGTAGAAATTTTATGATGTGCAAGTGGTAGAAAGAAATAGATTTTGAGTATTGTATCATTAAGAAAACAGTACGTGCAGACTGTTCATTCACAGAGTACTTTTTAATGTGAATGGATGCTCTCCCACTGGTCTGGAACTCTGCACTCTTTCCATTAAAGGTGAATTTTATGTTAAGGGATGGAGCGCTAGGTAGGCTGATCATTTCTGTTTGAGTCTCCTGTCTGGTGTTTATTTCTGTTGTGATCTTGGAGAAATCATCGAAATTTGTCTGAAAGCTCCAATTACTGTCAAGGGTATACCTTTGAGCAAACATACTATAGAGCTTTATACAATATTATCGAGGTTCATATAATGTGTAAATACTTAACATGTTTATAAATAACAAGATGTCACTCAAATGAAGCAGAGCATCTGAGAAATGGCAAGAGTGAATTTTCTTTCTGTATCTAGATATGCAGATCGTGCAAAACAAATTAAATGCAATGCTGTGATCAACGAGGACCCCAATGCCAAGCTGGTCCGCGAGCTGAAAGAGGAGGTCACGCGGCTCAAAGACCTTCTTCGCGCTCAGGGGCTGGGCGACATCATCGACAGTAAGTAACTTAGGGCTCAACAAAAGCCCTTTTAGCATTGTTCTGGTGAAGAAAAATTGAATTCAGGGAACTAGGTAGAAGTGAAATGGCCTTTTTTTCCTTTAAAAAACCAATGAAAATTATATCAGGATTTGTCTATATACAAGGTTCTCCATTTGAACTTAAGAAACTAGCTGTGAAACACAGGTGTCACTGCTTGTGTTTCTGGAGTTTAGCAGTGAAGTTTCTTTGAAATGTTAGGCTTATTCTCATGCAATTGATGACTTCATAAAAAAGTTATGTCAAATGTTTTTGTTGCATGGGTTTCTGTGGATTAGCGTGGTGGGTGGAACGTTCTGTGGAAAGCCACTGTCTGAGTCTGCTTTCCAGAGACTCATCGTTGAAGGGGAAATTTTAATTCCTTTCAAGTTTAAGAATTCAATTTCTAGAAAGTATTATGCTGTATTATGTTTTTAACAAGATTCCATGATCTGCCTGTATAATGTCTAATTGAAAGGTTTCCCCGGGGGGTTCTTTAGATGCAAAGTAATATGGAAGAACATGAGTTGGTTTAATAAAGTGTGTTTTTATGTTTGAGTGTGGAATTAACATTACAGTTGTCGATGTTCTGATGTCTCCAAGGCCTCTTCTGGTTAGTAGTTGTTCTTGATTGCAGCCTCAGTCCAGGTGAAGCTGATTTAGAAACGTGATAATACGCTCTCCATGTGCACTTTTTTGATTTTCCCAAATGCCAACTACCGCTCTCTCCCCTTACTGTGTCACTGCTGAATCTGAACTTTGACCCTTCTCCTGTTTTCCCTCCTGCTTACCTGATTCAGTTGATTCAGTTGACCCATTGATCGATGATTACTCTGGAAGTGGAGGCAAATGTGTGTATTTCACATAGTAGTTATTTCCAGTGTTCTGCTGGATCAGCCTTAAAATGCGCTTTGCATGCCAGCCATGCTAACTGGGAAATCCCAGACAGAGCACAGTGCATAACGAGCAGGAGTCCTGTCCTGGGCTCCCCACTGCAGAGGCCTGGGAGTCGCTGCTACTCCTGCAGCAGGTCGGCTTCCTTGGGTGATAAAATGAAACACAAAATTATAGGTGGTGGTGATAGCAACTTCTAGTTTGTGTTTTTTGTTTTTAAGATTTATATGTTTATCTGAAAGGCAGATTTATAGAGAGATTTTCTATCCCCTAGTTCACTCCCCAAATGATTGCAAAGACGGGCTGGGCCAGGAACTTCCTCTGGATCTCCCACATGGGGGCAGGGGCCTAAGCTCTTGGACCATCCTCCACTGCTTTCCCAGGCACATTGCAGGGAGCTGGATAAGTGGAGCAATTAAGGATAGGAATTGATGCCCATATGGATGTGGATGTTGTAGGCCATGGCTTAACCAGCACTGGCCCCGCAGCTCAGGTTCATCGGCTGTCCGTAGAGTGTTGGGGGCTTAGTGTGCCCGCGTTACCCGCTCTGATCGTTTGGGGTAGTGTTAAATTGCAGCCCTTCTTTTCAGCCATTTTTGTACTTGCATCTTTTTTTTTTTTATTTCAAAGTTTCTTAAGTTGCTTCCTTTAGGGTCTGATTATTTAATGTAAAAACCCCTTTTAATTAGCACTGTAGACCTGTGCCTTCTTGCATATATAATGAAAACAAGTGTTTCCATTGACAAGGGCTGTGTAATGGTCCAGTCAGCACACTTGTGCTCACGCTGATTCGGTTTGCTCATTCATGGGCCGTGGCTTATTAGATGATTACAGAAGCATTTTTTCCTTTTCACAAATTACACAATAAAAAGAACCACAGATGTGTAAGATGTCTGAAATGAAGACATTTTAAACGGGATCACATCTTACTATTCTCTCCATACAATCAAATGGGTGAAGAAACGTTTTACTGTTTCAAAACAGTTCAGCTAAGGATTCTTATCTCAGCGTAAATGAATCCTGATTTGGTGGTTAGCTTTTGGATTCTTACTGGTTTATTTTTCTAAGCCATGTAACAAGGCCTGTTGGACAGTGAGAACACTGAACGTGACCCCAGGTGTGGGGGTGAGGTTAGGTCTTGGAGGTGCTGTGATACCCCAAGCTTCAGGTGACTGTTGGACTGGGAGGCTCTGTCTGAGATTTCCAAAGCTGATGATGCTGGGGTGGAACCAATGCCTCCCTGTTTTGGCTTCTGTGCTCCAGGTGCTGCTGCTACCAGCTTGTTGCCTATTGCTTTTCTGAACCAGCTTTGCATTTCCTGAAAAGCCCTGCATGACCAAGTTTTACTTCTGTATCCATGAAGGAAAGCAGCCCAGTTGCTTCTCAGTTTCTGTTTTGACTGGCATCTCCGAACTCCGTTCAGGACTTGCATGTGTTCGCCAGGCCCCCTAAGCCACATCCCTCTCAGCCTTCCCACCTTGCTGCCGTCATCTGGTGGCTAATTTTTTGTTCCAGTTTCTGCTCCCATTTTATGAAGCCCCTAGCTTGTTTTCCTGTGTTCCAAACTCGCAGATGGTGGTTTTCAAACTGTCTTGAAGCAGCCGCCGCCTACCAGGGGCTCTGAGAACTGGCTTTGATTAAATAGAGGTTGGGAGCTCCTAAGAAAGCTAGTATTTTTTCCAGCTACTTGTGTTATTTATTATATCCTTTAAGGAAAACTCAGTTTTGATATGAATTTTAAGCAATATTGATTTTTATCATTTAACAATGAAATTATGTTTAGGAATGCTCAATAACTGGCTTTTCTCATTTGAAATGCATGACTAAGAAAAGAAAGCTCAAGTAGCAAGGAAAGAATTTATTTGGGTGACGGTGACTTGTTTGTTACCAAAACTAAATTTAAATGCAGGATTGACAGTAAATGAATCTTCTCAGAGAATTTGTATCTTATACTAGGAGGTGGATTTACCAGCTCCTCCTTCCTGATCTTTCTGTTAGGCAAAACCAAGGGCCTTTCTTCAAGTGTACAACAGAAGGCCTCATTTGTCTTGTTCTGGTCAATGAGCAGAAACTACATCAGCCCTGTTTATCAAGTCTTCCTTATTGGTCCTGAGTTCTTACTCAGGACTTACGTAAAATTCCTATCATGTCCACAGTTCCCTCTCCTTTTAATGTAAAGCATATTTCAAGAATCCTTGTAGTACATTGAAATGTTGCTGTCCAGAATACATTACTACATGCTCAGCTTGCGAGCATTGTAGACCTGGGGGACAGTACGTGGAAGGGATGTAGTTTGGCTGTTTAGGGAGAGTTCTCAAGTGGCTTCTCTGAGGCTCTGGCTCTCCCCTGCCAGATGTGGCTTCTCTGAGGCTCTGGCTCTCCCCTGCCAGATGTGGTGCAGTGGGATTTTTTGTTTCTAAATTCAGATGGGGGTGTTGGCCTCCAGGATACCCACGTGTCGGTACTGGAGAAAGACATGTTTCAGAACTGCCATCTAGTCTTGTCTTTGTGTTATAACATGTCTTTGTCCTGGCGCTTTGAAGCTACCCTTTCTTACACTGGTCTTCCTTCCTGTCTTTTTTTTTTTCTTCCTCTGCTCCCTTCCTGCCTCTCCACTTTTCCTGCCTTCCGTCTTTTCTATCTCCCAGATCTGAAAGATTTTCAGAACAATAAGCATAGGTACTTGCTAGCCTCTGAGAATCAACGTCCTGGCAATTTTCCCACAGCGTCCATGGGGTCCCTTACTTCATCTCCATCTTCCTGCTCACTCAGTAGTCAGGTGGGCTTGGCATCTGTGACCAGTATTCAGGAGCGGATCATGTCTACGCCCGGAGGAGAGGAAGCCATTGAACGTCTAAAGGTGAGCACTCACTCCAGCCGGATGCAAGGTGCTAACTAGGACTAAGCACTGTCAGCTCTTAAGAATGTCCTGAAAGCAAGTTAATTAATTTTCAATAAAATGCTTGAGTCTGACATAGCTAGGAAGAGTTGGGAAGAATCTGTGGACAGCAGTAGGTTAAACATGCACAGTAACTGGTAAGTGGATCTGTGTATTAATTTGGAGGTAGTTTTTTTTTAGGTTATAGTGAAATTGTTTAGTTAGAATCTTAATTGGACTTGAGATCTTTTTGGTTTCATTTGACGGTACAATTTGTGTACAATCATCGTTTCATTAGTGAAATTGATATATAGTTAAACGAAAGTTTTAACACTCAAGTATTACACCAGTTTATTCAGATACATATAGAATGATGTCTTCTAGAAGTTCCCAGAAAGCCCTCCTTGACGTTTTGTGATCACTGTGGAGGAAAGAATTGTCTTCCCTTGCTGGCGCACGTGGGTCTCAGGGCCGTGAGTTACCCACGCCACCCGCGGTGCCCAGCTTTGCTGCTGGAGATATTTCCCATGCTGTTGCAGGCTGTTGGGGTCTTGCTAGTCCTTCTTCATGAACATGAGAAGACCAGAGAAGCCTCCAGTGCCCCTCCCCACCCTCGGTGCCTGTAGTTCTGGGACAAGCTCCCAGGAATCCTGCCATCCCTCATAGGGATGTGGCATCTGCAAGTAGACCAGACTCTGTCCCTGCTTGTCACCTCTGGGAGGAGTATTCCTTGCGTCCTCTGACCTTTGTATGCAGGAGTGGTGGGGCAGGGCATGCAAGGAGTGCAGAAGATGTTCTCCAAGCTCAGCAGACTTGCAGTCATGCTGCCATGCAGTGCTTGGCACGTTTGCTCAGCCACTGTCCGCATGAGCACTGCTCACTGAGGATGACCAAGAGGGGACACTGATGGTGAAGGGAGGACTTGCCACATGCCGGCACCACCACGTTAGCTAAGTTTGGTAATTGAAGATGTCGCAGGCTTTCGTTTGTATTTTCAACTGAGGCTGAAAAAGATCTTTTATAATGAAGAGTCTTCTGTATTTTTGTCATCAATTATCTTGCTTTCACCCTGGCATTTTACTCACTTCAAAGAATGATCCAGTTCCTTCCTTCAGAACCTATTAATGGAATGTAGGCGAAATCCTGAAATCTTGGGCAGTAAGAGAAGGAATGAGATATCTCTAAGTGTTACAAGTTGCAGGTGACTACTCTGCTGGAAAAATTGGATTTCCAGTTCTAGCAGGGACCACAGGGAAGCCTGAATGGAGAGGAAAGGCTTGTCCATGTGTTTTCTCACTGTTGATGTTAGGGCAGTGAGCCTGTGCAAGGCTCTGTTACAGCCGGGGTGGGAAACAGAGGGCTCCGAGGGAATGAGAAGCAATCCTACAGCTGAGCACCTCATGTAAGACGGCCTCCCTTAGAGGAGTTTGAATCTGTTTGTTTACGCAAAACCTCTGTGCCCAAATAAGATTGCCCTTTCCTTTGATGTTCATCTGTCACAAAGGAGAAATTTCCTCCTAATAACCAAATTAGACCAACTGAAAATAATATTGGATATCTAGAGTAAAGACATTAACCTTTGTTTTCAAGGATTAATTCCCCTGTTGTCTCCTAAATCATTTCTAGGGAGTCACACTGTTGTTGTTCTGCCAGTTTTCCCCTAAAGCAAAACAAAATTGTGTTACTTCATTTTTTCTTCAATGTTTATGTTCATTGCTACTTGAAAGGCAGAGAGACAGAAAGGAGTGAGGGAGTAAAGTTTCCTTCTGCTGGTTCACTCCCCAAATGCCCAGCAGGCAGGACCTGGGAGCCTGGGACACACGGGCCTCCCACAGGGGTCTCAGGACTCAGTGCTTGTCACTGCTGCCTTCCAGGGTGCACATCAGCAGGAAGCTGGGTGAAGAGCAGAGGAGTGAGGCCTGGAACAGGCATGTGAAAAAGGATACAGGTGTTGAAAGCAGCATCTTAACCTCCCAAAGTATCATATTTTATCAGAAAAAAATTCCTTTTTAGTTTTAGTTCTCTGATAAGCCTGCATTAATGAAAGTGTCTCTTCTCCCTACCTCTGTTCCAGTGAGAAGGCAGCTTTACCATTTATGTCCAGTGCAAATCTTTACAACTTTACCCACAGTGCAGGGGGTGGGTGTATGATGGAAATGCTTGAAAATGTCTAGAAGCTGCGTTCCTTAAGGCAAGAGATTGCCTTGAAAAAAAAACAGTAAATATTACTTTGTTTTCCTACATTTTATTCTATTTTTCTTTTTCTTTTATTTTTATGGGAAAATCAGATATACAGAGAGGAGGACAGACAGAGAGGAAGATCTTCTGTCCGATGATTCACTCCCCAAGTGGTTGCAACAGCCAGAGCTGAGCCGATCCGAAGCCAGGAGCCAGGAGCTTCTTCCGTGTCTCCTGTGTGGGTGCAGGGACCCAAGGCTTTGGGCCGTCCTTGACAGCTTTCCTAGGCCACAAGCAGGGTGTTGGATGGGAAGTGGAGCTGCCAGAAGTAGAACTGGCATTGGGCCCCATTTTTCTTTATTTTTGATTTCAGAAAGGATCCACTGGTAGGGTACTACTTTTTCATAGGGTATTATTGCTGTTTTGTTCATTGAATAATTTCATACACAAGACATTCGTCATGAATACCTTGATCCTTCTTTAAACCGCTTTGGCAAAAGAAAGTGACCAGAAATTGCTTTCAGTTTTAAGTCACAACTCACACTGAGTTCAGCTGTTTGTATTACTGGTTTGTGTTCCTGTTCAGTAAAAAGGTTTTAATTTATGTGGCCAGTGCAGTGGCTGTACTGGCTAATTCTCCACCTCCTTGCACCTATATCCGGCGTGGGCACAGGTTCATGTCCTGGCTACTCCACTTCCCATTTAGCTCCCTGTTATGACTTAAGAAAGCAGTGGAGGATAGCCCAAAATAAATAAATCTTTAAAAATAAAAAATAAATCTTTAAAATTTTTACTTATTTTACTTGCAAGTCAGAATTAGAGAGGTTTTCTGTCTGCTGATTCATCACCAAATGGATGCAATAGCTGGAGCTGAGTCAGTCCAAAGTGGGGAGCCATTAGCTTCTGGGTCTTCCACATAAGTTCAGGTGCCCAAGGAGTTGGGCCATCCTCCGCTGCCTTCTTGAGCCATTAGCAGAGAGCTTGATCAAAAGTGGAACAGGTGGGCCATGAACCAGTGCCCATATGGGATGCTCACACTGCAGGCAGAGGGTTAACTTGTCTACTACCATGCTGGCCCACACAATAAGATTTGAAACATTTCATCCATGGCCACTGTGTGTAACAGTCTGGTGTTTATAGTCTGGCATCAAAGTCAAGACTGTGAGTGCCATTGCTTAGGCTTGGCCTATAAATATCTACAAACATCCATTACAGACGTGGGCAAGGGCAGATGCTGTGCTAAGCAGCCCAAGGGCCCTACACTGGAAGGCACATACAAAGCAGGCCATGTTCGGTACAGTAAAAACCTTAGTCATCTGATGGCGCCAGGGAATGTTCCGTGCAGGAAGCACTCATATTTTCAGTATTGACACTTAACACTGTAATTTGTTTTCATGGAAATATTAGGGAATCTCAAAAGATTTTCTGGAAATTTCATATTATGAAAAAAACTGCATGGATTTAAACTTTTTCTTGGACCCAAAGAAACATCTTTAAATACCATTTCCCCAAGAACTTGTGAAGTACTCTTAGATTTCTGACCCATGCTATGAATTTCTCAGACTCTTTAACTTGAATCTTCAAGAGGGATCTAAAATGATCAGCCTCATAAAAACACTTGATCAGTCAGTGCAGTACAGACAGAAATGGCGTGAGACAGAAGTGAATGCCACCCCAACCCAGCTGTCCTTGGAGCTGCTTACACAGAAGTTGATGATCCTGCCTGCTTTCTGGAACCTTTTTTTTAACAATGTAGAACCTGCAGCAGGATTAAAGACCGTGTATTTTCAACCATCAATTCCCATGAATCCCCATTTCAGTTTTGTCTTATGTCAAGTTCCTGGAGTGGGTCGTGAGTAGCCTTGAAATGTCTCTGTGGGTGACCTTCAGAATGCAGTGATAGTTCTCAGACTAAACGGGATCCTCCCTTGGCTTTGGTAGTTTTGAAAAGAGTTTGTTTATTTGAGAGAGACAGATTGTTTGCAACAGAGAGAACACCAGATGTCTGTAATGACCTGGGCTGATGTGGCCAGAGCTGAGGACTCAGTTCAGATCTCTCATGTCAGTGACAGGCCCCAAGTGTTGGAGCCATCACCCCTGTCTGCTAGAAGAGTCAGGAGCTAGAGCATGCACTCCCTGTGTTCCTCTGTCCCTCCCTTTGATGTATTTACTTGAAAGTTATTGCTAGAGGGAGAGAGAGAAGGAAATACCATGTTTCAGCCGCTGGATGACTGCAGTGGGATTGAGCCAGGCTGAGAATTCCACTCTGGCCTACTAGGTGGGGGACAGGGGCCCAGACCCAGTTGGGCCATCCACTGTGGCTTTTCCTAGACCATGCTGGGAAAGTGAGACATGAATCAGTGCCCAGATGGAGTACAGGTGTCCCAGGTGGCAGCTTAGCCTGCTGTGCTGTAATGTTGGATTGGCCACCGGTGTCTTCATCAGTGTCCTAGCTGCTAGGCCAACACTTCAGCTCCCGTGGGAGCCCAGATGGCCTTGGAGGAACTCCGAGGAGCAGCAGGCTTGACTCTGTGCCATCTTCAAGCTCCCTCTGACCACTGAGTCTGCCATGAGGAAGATGGAAGACAATAACAGACTCTTGCTCATTGTGGATGACAAGGCCAACAAGCACCAGATCAGACAGACTGTGCAAGAACTCCACAGCATTGACATGGTCCTAACTTCTGGCTGTGTAGCTTTGGGTGGTACCAACAAAATTAGAGTCATCTGAACAGAGTCCAGCTGAGTAATTCTAAATATACTCAATACATGTCTTTTCACACACACATCCTCCCAGCCGAAAGAAAGAAGAAAATAGGAGCTGCCGCTTTCTGGAGTTCTTCATTAAATCTCTTTTCTACAAAGAGCTCCGTCCTGCGTTGCCCTCAATGTGTGTTTGAAGTCAGTACAGTTTGAAGTCACATTAAAGTTGGCAGTAAATGATACAAGGATTTTGCTGCAATAACTTTGCTTTCTGTGGGTAACATCTATAGTCGACTTAAAATAAGATGTGGTCAGATAAACCACTGTCTGAAGTGAGGAAAGCAAGGAGAAAGGAAAGTGTTTTAGAGATATCTCATGGCTCAGCTCGTGTTCTGCAGACACTGTAAGTGGTTTGCAGACCACACTGGGAGAGTCCCTTGTCCAGGTGCTTTGATTTGGTCAGATGTATCCAGTTGCCCTACTGTTTTGTTTTCAAAGTTTTCTCTGAAATCTTAAAGGTTTCTACTCAGGTGTCCTTTTTTTTTTTTTTTTGAAAAAAAATTATTATTTGCAAGGCAGTGCAACAGATTAAACAACTCTTGCATTTGCTGATGCACTCTCCAAACGGCTGCAGTAACTGGGCTGAACCCAGCTGGAGCCTGGCATTCCATCTGCATCTCCCGAGTGATGGGAGAGGCCCGAGTCCTTTTAATGGTCTATGATTCTAATACTATTCTGGAACCCAAAAGTTCCAGAAAGCCAAATTCTAGACCCAATAAGATTTTACTATATTACACTTATTCATGCCTTTCTTCCATGTAGATACTTAAGTTTGGGGCTTTCTGAGGTTTCTAACATTCTGGTAAATGAATCACACGATTAACTATTTTGCGAACTTAAAACTTCCCTCTGCTGCATCGTGAGCATCTGACTTCCTGGCTAGGGCTGTGTTTTCTGCTCTTGCTCTGCTCCTCGCCTTGCCGTGGGTCCCCATCGCTCGCCCAGTCACCGCCTTCACCGACCTAGGAGCACTGGGCCCTAACACTTGGCACAGGTGTCTGCTCTTCTCTGCTGCCATCCCAGTCGCAGGCCTCCGTCATGCTGTGCTGGCCACAGGCATGTCTTGGAGAACTCCAGATGCTTTCCCGCCTGTTACCCACATCCGCATGGCAGCTCCTGCTCTTTGTTGTTCCCCGCCCACAGGAAGCCTCATCAGCAAAGCCTTTCCTCACCTTCAATTTCTCCCTCACATACTCTCTTCTTTCAGTCTTTCCCTCCCTTGTTTTATTTTTGTCCAGAGCATTTATCAGTGTGAGACTGGTTAAAATCGTCTCAATCTCCTTACTAGAATGGATGTCCAAGGAGCAGGCATCTGGCCCTGGTACAGGAACCCACAACCCACATCAGAGTGCCTGAGTTAATTTCCTGGCCCTGGCCCTGGCTCCTTGCTAACCCAGATGCTGGGAGGGGCAGTGATGGTTCCGGTAGTTGGTCCCTGCCACCCTCTTGGGACACCTGAACTGCACTCTCAACAGACATGGGCATTCAGAGATGGCTTAGCATTTGGGAGCTACCTGCCCCCCCAAAAATAAATTAATTAATTTTTTGGTCAGGTTTTTTTTAAGATTTGTTTATTTATTTATTTATTTTTTATTGGAAAGGCAGATACACAGAGAGCAGGAGGGGCAGAGACAGATCTTCCCTCCAATGGTTCACTCCCCAAGCGGCCTCAATGGCTGGAGCTGAGCCAATCCGAAGCCAAAAGCCAGGAGCCTCTTCCGGGTCTCCCACGCGGGTGCAGGGTCCCAAGGCTTTGTCCCGTCCTCCACTGCTTTCCCAGGCCACAGGCAGGGAGCTGGATGGGAAGTGGAGCTGCCGGGATAGAACTGGCGCCCACATGGGATCCTAGACATGTTCAAGGCAAGGACTTTAGCCACTAGGCTACCACGCCAGGCCCTAATTTAATTTTTATAAAGCCAAGAAGGAAGAGATTTTATTCTATGCTATATCATCAGTTGTCTGAAATCAAGCTCAGCAAATAATGGAAACTGCATTAATAAATTGTCAGTAGCTTTTCTTTTCCTGGTGGAAAGTGAGCTCCTTGACAATAGAAAGCATGCTTTAGTTCTTTTTTTTTCCTTGAAATTACTTTATTCTGACAATCTTTACATAGTTGATTAGGGCACAAAGGGTCAAGGGCTACAGAAAAGTGGGTAGACTATTGTTTCCACATTATTTTTTTCCTGTATATGGGTTAAGGGGGTTGCTTTAGTTCTTCTATTTATGCAGTATCAATGCTGAAGAGGAGATTGGTAAATTTTCCCTTTTGTTGACTGTTGGTTTGTGCTCAGGATGTTATAGTGAAGTTATTTAAGAGCAAAAGCATGGGTACCTCTGGACATTTTATTTTTAAGTGGAAGTGGTTACCCAAACAGGTGTCTTGCTTTTTGGAATGCTAGTAGTGTCAGCAGAGATGTGTGGAATCAGAGGTTCTTACCTGTGAAAGAAAGAACCCAGATGTGTGACAGAGAGGAGTGGTTGGCAAGATAATGGGGTAGGGCATCCTTCAGGATGGGTAGGCACTTCTCCACCTGAGAAAGAGCTTGGTTGAGTTTTAGGCTGGGTGAGAAAGGTCACGTAGTGCAGAGAATATGCCTCATAGGCCAGGTGGGTATCTCAACAAAGAACTGCGAGACCTGAGGGCTGGGATGCACCTGACGGTCCAGGCAGGTGTCTCAGGAAAGGGCTGAGTGCCGTCTGTATGTGAGAATGGGGGCCTTTTCTCCTTACCCCTACCCTCTTCTCCTGGACAGAGTTTGGTAAAATATGTCAGGTTTCATTACTCGGTGTTAGGCTGGGTAGCTGCCTTGGCGCTGGGCAGAGGGAGTGCTGGGATCCCCTGTGAAGTCACTGGGGATGATTTCAGTGGAAAGAACAGGCCGCTTCCCGGGTGTGCCTGAGGCTGCTGCCTTCCTCCCCGGCTCGCTGAGGAGCAGGTTAGAGGTTCTGGTAGATTCAGGTTGGGGCTTCAAGGCATATGATCAGCTCACGTCCAAGTTCCTGGTCAGCCAGTGGTGCTCGTGATCTTCCTGTGATTGGTTAGCAATGCTGTGTTTTTCACTATGTCCAGGTGGGCTTCAGTTGTCTGGGGGGTTTGCTATGTAACAGGTGGTAGAGACCTGCCCCAGACCTGGAATTCCCTGAACAACCCCTCTGGACACTGTTGGCCGTCCAGGGGTTATCTATTGGAGAATCAGTTGACCTCGTGGGTCCGGTGTTGAGAACAGTGCTACAGACAGGCAGGGACTCCTTGGGCTGGGGAAACAGACAAGACTGCTGCCTTGACTATGTGCTTCGTTTCTTAGGAATCAGAGAAGATCATTGCCGAGTTGAACGAAACATGGGAAGAGAAACTGCGGAAAACAGAGGCCATCCGGATGGAGAGGTCAGCAGGTTGAAATCTGGCAGCATACCTGAGCTTTCTCAGGAATTAGAAATACTCTTATAGGAAGGAACGATGACACAGAAGTTAGGAACAAGCCACACCTCCTAAAACACAAAATAACATGGCAGGGACTTGGGGCCAGTTGAATTTATTCTTTGAAGTAAAATACACAAATTTAAATATTCTCTAGAGAATCACATAGTTAAATCCACCCCATTCTATAGTTTTTGTCTAAGGATCCATTAAAAAATGAAACAATCTGAGGTATGGGGCTTTTCATTTGCACAAAGTGGTGATTTTTAATAAAGGCCCAAATCTGAAACGCTGCCGTTTGGATCCAACGCTGTTTGGATCCTCCTTGGCCGCAGGCGGAGTTCTGTCTGAGCTGCCGGCAGTGCTTGGCCTTGCGGGTGCATAGTCCAAGGGGAGACTTTGGTTAATGGAATCAATGTGTGTTTTTGAAATGTCAGTTTATATCTTTCCCCTGTGGGAAACATGAAGCAGAGTGGATTCTCATGTACTGATTTGTTACATGTAATAAAAATTTTTTTTCTTAATTTGTATGGAAACTTTAAAGCAGTTGTTACTGAACCAAAATGATGATCATTAAAATGTAACATTTGAGAAAATCACATTTATAGACCCAAGTATGTATAACCGAGTTATTGACTACTGTCTTAGATTCTGAAGAAATAGTTTTAATGTATAATCTTAAGAAATATGCCTTTCTTTCCTTTTCCTTTTTATACTGTTTGGGAATTATTATTATCTATTTCTACAGTCCGATAGACAAAGCTCTTGTCTGGAAGTTTTAATTTTTTTGATCTGTACTCTTTTAAGTAGTTTTTTCCACCAATGAGATAAGCACATTGTTTTTCGTTTTCATTCTCCACTTTAAATGTGGCCAGTTGTTGTGCGCAGCGTGCCTTAGAGTGCATGTCAGCCTGCGGGAGCTGGTGTCGGGGTGTTGCTTTTCTGACGCGTTGCTTGTTCCAGAGAGGCCCTGTTGGCAGAGATGGGAGTTGCCATTCGAGAAGATGGAGGAACACTGGGAGTTTTTTCACCTAAAAAGGTAGGAGACAGTGTTGTGAAGCTCAACCAAACCAGCCCCTGGCGCTTCGTGGCTTTCGGGGCCAGCCTCTCTTCCCTTTGGTGTTTTGTTCTCTGACATCATCTCACATATTTCTGATTTCATGTTAGAGAATGGATTCAGAGTCCAAGGGCAACCAGTTTCTAACCCCCCTCACTTTGACAAGACATGAAGACTTTAGGTTATGATTCGATATCCTTAGCCATCTTCCCATTGTTCTCTCTTCGCCTCTGAACCTGCCTTACCGTATTCCTGGCTTCAGTTCTGCCTGCTCTTTCTGTGTGGTTTTCCGCAGAATTCGTCAACTCTCCTTTGTAACCTTTTGGAACCAGTTTCAGCTATTCAGGTTTGTGCAGCAAAGTATCGCCTCTGCGGTTGCTGTGTTAGGTGACTGTTGTTCTGAGTAACACAGCTCCCTTCCTCCCCTGCTGGTCTCCTCTGCTCCCTGGCTTTTGTTTTTCTTTATGACACCGGTAGTTATTTTCCTATTTACATAATCATAGTTGTAGATTGCTTAGGTGCCTTTTAGTTAACTAGATATTGAGACTTTTTAAAAATAACTTAGTTGCTGCTTTGCCATTGTTGGATACTGGGAAGTTATTATCAAATTATTAGTTTGTGTGCTTATTTAGATTATAGCAGTGGAACATATACCAGTGTGCAAAGCATATATATGTATTTTTTATATATGTATTTTTTAAGATTTATTTACTTTTATTGCAAAGTCAAATTTACAAAGAGAAGAAAGATCTTCCATCTGTAGGTTTATTCCCCAAGTGGCCACAAGGGCTGGAGCCTCGCTGATCCAAAGCCAGGAGTTTCTTCCAGGTCTCCCACGTGGGTGCAGGGTCCCAAGGCTTTGAGCCGTCCTTGACTACTTTCCCAGGCCACAAGCAGGGAGCTGGATGGGAAGTGGAGCAGCCAGGATATAAGTCAGTGCCCATATGGGATCCCAGCACATGCAAGGCGAGGACTTTAGCTACTAGACTACCACACTGGGCCCAGCAAAGCATGTATTTCAGACTACTAAGAAATGGTCCTTTATTTTAAATGACTTTAGATTGGCCATTGGATACTTAAGCATTTTCATGCACAGGTTCTGATGGTAATGTCTCCAATCTAGAATAGGAGTATGGATTGATACTTTTGTTTTATGTAATACAGTATGTGCTATTTTTGTGATTTATTTTTAAAAAATGATTCATTTATTTCTATGGAAATCATATTTAGAGATAGCGAGATCTCTGTCTGCTCGTTGAGTCCCCACGTGGCCAGATCCAAGCCAGGATCCAGGAGCTCTGTCCACGTCTCCCACATGAATTGCAGGAGCCCAGACATTTAAGCCATCTCCTGCCACTTTCTCCAGGCCACGATCAGGGAGCTGGATGGGAAGTGGAGCAGCTGGACTCAGGTGGAGTACTGGCATCTCAGGCACCTTTACAGGTGACAGGGCCAGCTCCTCGTGTGATTTTTGCTATTGTTTATTTTGGTTAGGCTTTTTCTAAAAAATGCTCATGTAACTTTTTTAAAAACTTCTCATTGTATTTTCAAAAGGAAAGATTGATGTAATGATATTTTAGATACATGTTTTTGAATCATTACACTGAGGTACTTTGTGCTATACAAAGTCACTAGGTTTCACTGATTCAATTCTTTTCTTCAGTTAAATTTGTACTCATGTTCGTTATGCATGGTGATAGAAATTTTTAACAGCTGTAGTTTGTTCTTAATGTTTATTTATTTATTTGAAATAATAACAGAGAGGGAGGGATAAGTAGAGAATTCTTTTCCATCCATTGGTTGACTCCCCAGAGTATCTGCACAAGCTGGGCCTCGGCCAGGTGGAAGCCAGGAGCCAGGAGCTCTCCTAGGGGCGTGCAGAAATCATGTGCTGCTTTGCAGCATCCTTAGCAGGAAGCTGGATCCGAAGTATGACTGACGGGACTGAATCCAGTGCTTGGATATGGGATGCTGGCAGCCCAAGCAATTGGCGTAATTCACTGCTCCCAAGTCCTATCCCAATACTTGTGGTCTTGATGCAATTTAGATTGTACCTTGGCTTGTTATCTGAAGGCATTTTATAACATCTTTCAGTATTTAAAAAATGTAGGAAACATTTTAATAACGAGTTGTGATACGTTGTGGAATTTAGCACAAATTGTAAATAACGTGAACAAGTGATGTGGTAGAATCAGCACAGAACTCCAAACTAGGTCTCTGCCTGCAAAGATTTCTGCTTAGTTTTATCCCCTCTGCTCTAACGCGGTGCTCTGCTTCGTGAGCGGCGGGGATGTGCCCCTGAGCACGTGCGGACGTGGGTGAGAGAAAGCCTGCCCTGGTCCTTTCCCTTGGCCAGTGTCCTCAGGAGCTCTCCAGACCCCAGCAGCTGGGTTCTTAGCTCCGAGGTCCATGCCGTGGAGGACGGCTCAGGCTGGCCTTGCGTCGTCACCATGGTAACAGTGTCTTGCGACCCTTGTCATTAACCTCCTCATCTGACTCTGTTTTCATTTTCCCACATCTGCTGGCACGATCTTGGGTAGGTTTGGGCCCCAAGACCATGTGACTTATTTTTGGATTCCAGTGGGGTATTTTCACCGAAACAGGTTGGTTTTTCAAAGATTTTTAAAATATTAGAGTTAGATGAAGAGATTGTTTGGAAGATATTTGTTTTATTGAATGTCAGTGTTTATATATTTTTTTGATTAAAGACAAAGTAAAGGTGGTAACTAGGACTATGTAAAAACTATTGAAAATTATAGAGGGAAACGTAATTAAATAGGGGGAAAGTGGGGACATTTTAATAACAGTAAATTAAAAATTAAATCATTCTTGAGATTTTTTTTTGCCCAGGCATTCACCAAGATTATAATTAACTTACCCTGAGAATTGTCCCTATTTTCACTTTGTGCTTGCTGTATTTTGCTTTTAATCAAGAACTGCACTTTGTTCATTATCCCAGAATTCATGTTTTTACTTAGAGTGCATTGGCACATGCTGGGGAGGCCTGAAGAGGGGCTTTTGTCTTGGTTACGGAATTCCCACTGTGAGTGAGAGTCTGCCTTTAGGCACTCTGCGCAGGGGGAGCGGCCTGGCCCCTGGAGGCCCCGTTAGTGCCATGGGGAGCAGCCTGGCCCCTGGAGGCCCCTGTTAGTGCCGTGGTCTTCCTCGTGGGGTCTCCTAGGAACTCATCCTCTGTGACCTTTTTCAGACCCCACATCTTGTTAACCTCAACGAAGACCCGTTGATGTCCGAATGCCTGCTGTATTACATCAAAGATGGAATTACCAGGTATACTTGTTTCTTAGTTAAGCCACTAGCTGTTCTCTTTTCTTTAGACTAACTAAAAGGAATTTTTTGGTTGATAAATTTTGGTTGTAATGTAATGATTTACTGTTTCTTCTATCTTAAATAATTACAAACTGTCCTCCCCTTCCAAATTGTTTTAGTCAGCAGAAATAGTTAACTGAGTAGTTTTTCTCTAAAAGACTAAATATTTTTCTTTTAGCAACTCACACGCAAGCATTAGGGAGTTTACTTTTACTTCTGTCTTTTTATAATGCTGATGTATCACTCACTGCTCCTTGGCTTACTGTGATGTAGGGAGGTTGAGCGTGTTTAAGAATAAAATTTGCAGCTGAAAGCTTGATACAAAAAGGCGATACCTTTTTTGCACATTCCAAAGGATATTCTTTAGGAAGAAGGGGCTCATTGTTGGCCATGCTCTTTGTGTCTGAATTTCCCTGGGAAACACTTTCTCTTGTGTTCAGAGTTGGCCAGGCAGATGCGGAGCGGCGCCAGGACATAGTGCTGAGCGGGGCCCACATTAAAGAAGAGCATTGTATCTTCCGGAGCGAGAGGAACAACAGCGGCGAAGGTGCGAGTGAGAGAAATCCTTCAGCTTTAGCAGTCCCTGTCCCTGTCAGTGGCACTTGTGTTGTATATTCTAATAATGAAAAGTGGGGGGAAAAAATTAAACCAAAAAACAAAAAAACCTGGGTTACTTGTAAACACAGCTATTGCCACAGCTACTTTCCATGAAAATAGCCTAAACAAAAGGAGCCCTTTGTTCCTGCCAAGAACTGATCTGGGCATAGGCAGTGAGGCTTGGTCCTGCATGTTAATTATTTTACTAGAAAAGTAAGGGAAGAACAGATGCTTTGTGAGGTGAGAGGCTTAGAAAGGGCCTCAGGTCTCAACCCAGTGGAATGTGCTTAAGTCTGAAAGCAAAGCAGTCAGTCTGATTTTTGCCTGGGTTATTGACAAAACATCAAGAATCTAAGTGCATTTTAGTACTGTGTGGTTTACACCTATCTTAATCAAAATAATGTCTGGCCTTCAATTTCAGTTATCACTTTTACCTCATACTGAGGATTTCTGAAGGTTTCAGTCAAATATTACTGAAATTAATACTTGCCATGTTTTTCTTGTGAGGTTGGATAAACTCGGTGTTTTTTTAAGCCACAGTATCTGATAACCTTTTATATTGGGACTGATTGTGGTGTCCCGAAATGAGCTCCTGTGTGGGTTCTCATCACTAGATTGAGCGCCAGCGTCTGTGTAATGACCCTGACTCCTGATGGACAGCTGCCTTGCCTGCCTTTATTCCTGTGGCTCATGATCATTTGTTTGTGTTTCTCTTAGTTATTGTGACTCTAGAGCCCTGTGAGCGCTCAGAAACCTACGTCAATGGCAAGAGGGTGGCCCAGCCTGTTCAGCTGCGCTCAGGTGAGCCGGGGAGAGGTTGGAAGTCGTCAGCAAAGCACCTCAGCTCGAACCACTCTAATTTCTGATTCTGTTAAAGGCTCAAGTAGTTAGTAATTGACATTATAATTTGTTCTTGCAAAATTTTTAAAACTATCTTTCTGTTGCGGGGGGGATTGAGGTTACTAAACTGTTGCAAATTGACCAAATCCATCCAAGAAATGAGTTGGAGGCAGACTCTTAGAAGCTAGGAGTTTTTAGTCACACTGGCTGGCACCATCTGGTGGACTGTCCCATTCCACCACACGTGGCATCAGCTGTGTTCAAGGGCTCTTAGGCAGCGATCATCCAGTCAGCTAGGAGAGCACGGGCACGTTACACCAGTCAGTCAGTCAGACCTGCATCAGTGTGTGAAGCGAATGATCCAGTGAGGTGCCCAGATACATCATGCACTCTAGTGTCCCACCTAGTAACGAATAGCAGAACTAGACAAACGGGACCTTCCAGTCCTGTTCATAGAAAACAACTTGGGTCAGTCAGCTTACTGCCTGAGCTGTAAAAGAAATGCAAGATCCCATCTGGAGTGAGATAAAACACTCTCATTTCTCTTTTGGGACTTTCCAGGAACTGAAGGTTAGGACAAAGGTCAGGTTATGGACATGTCCCAGAAGGCTTTCAGAAGCTTGACTGTTGCCATTTTCTATAGTTTGGGCACAAAACTAGATATTGTACATTTAAAAACATTTTTTAAAATTCAATTTCTGATTTTGCTAGGAAACCGTATCATCATGGGTAAAAACCATGTCTTCCGTTTCAACCACCCGGAACAAGCACGGGCCGAACGAGAAAAGACGCCTTCGGCTGAGACACCCTCGGAGCCCGTGGACTGGACGTTTGCCCAGAGAGAACTTCTGGAAAAGCAAGGAATTGATATGAAACAAGAGATGGAGAAAAGGTAATATACAAATATTGTGTGGCTCACAACAATTCCTTCTTTTTTATTGTTTTTAAAATTGAGACACAGGGCCTGGGAGCATGGCCTAGAGGCTAAAGTCCTGGCCTTGAACACACCAGGATCCCATATGGGTGCCGGTTCTAATCCTGGCAGCTCCACTTTCCATCCTGCTCCCTGCTTGTGGCCTGGAAAAGCAGTCAAGGATGGCCCAATGCTTTGGGACCTTATGCCCGCATGGGAGACCTGGAAGAAGTTCCTGGCTCCTGGCTCCTGGCTCCGGATCAGCACAGCACCAGCCATTGCACTCACTTGGGGAGTGAATCATTAGATGGAGGATCTTCCTCTCTATCTCTCCTCCTCTCTGTATATCTGACTTTGTAGTAAAAATAAATAAATCTTTTTTAAAAATAAGATAAAATTGAGACACAGAGAGCAAATGTATGTGCATGAGAGCAAGCAAGAGCATGCTCCTACTCATTGGCTTAAACTCCTCGAAACTGGGGCTAGACAAGGCTGACGCTATCGCCCAGGAACTCAGCCCACATCTCCCACATGGTTAGCAGGGACCCAGATGTTTGAGCCAACACCACTGCCTCCCAGGGTCTTCTCGGTAGGTGCTGAAACCAGGAGCTAGAGCTGAGTGCCAGACTTAGGCACAGGATGCATATTGCCCATAGCATCTTTTTTTTTTAAATATATATATATATTTTTTTATTGTAAAGGCATATTTACAGAGAGAGACAAAGATCTTCTGTCTGCTAGTTCACTGCCCAAATGACCACAATGGCTGGAACTGAGCTGATCCAAAGCCAAGAGCCTTCTCTAGGTCTTCCATGTGGGTGCAAGGTCCCAAGGCTTTGGGGCATCCTCTGCTGCTTTCCCAGGCCATAAGCAGGGAGCTGAATGGGAAGTATAGCGGCCAGGACACAAATTGATGCCCATGTGGGATCCTAGCAGTGCTTGTAAGGGGAGGATTAGCCAGCTGAGCAATTGCACTGGGCCAGGGTCACAAGATTGTAACCACCAGGCCCAACATACTCTCCTGTCTCTTTTTGAAAACATGTTGTACTGGGGCTGGCATTGTGACATAACCAACTAAGCTACTACTGCACTGCCAGCATCCTGTATAGGTGCCTGTTCAAGTCCTGATCAATTTCTGATCCAGTTCCATGTTAATGTGCCTAAGAAAGCAACAGAAGATAGACTAAGTGTTTGCGCCCCTGCCCCCCGTATGAAGCCTTGATCTGGCCTTGCCCTGACCATTGTGGCCATTTGGAGAGTGAATCAATGAATGGAAGACCTCTCTCCTTCTCTAATTCTGCCTTTCAAAAACAACCGAAATGTCTTAAAAAAAAAAAAAAGCTAAATAGTTGTGGTAGCATGAAACAATGCAGTGATTCGAAAGTGTGTTCATTTGCATTTGTTTCTTCCAGGCTACAGGAAATGGAGATCCTATACAAAAAGGAGAAGGAGGAAGCAGATCTCCTCTTGGAGCAGCAGAGACTGGTAGGAAGCCATCCTAAGCCTGCTCACTAGGAATAGCAAAAGGGCAGCTACTGCAGTACATCCACTTACCTGACGGCTCTCATGGCCACCACACACTGTCCTTTGGTTTCTTAATGGAAAATGAACTCAAGTCCCCTGGTAGCCTTAGTCTGAACAGCTGTCCAGAGTGGAACTGTTTTGTGCCTTTTATGTGGTAAAGTCAAGCCTTTATTTCTGTGGGTCAGGTGCTTTCTGAGTAAGTAGCCAGAGCTCTTGTGGTGGCACCCTCCTCCGGATGGTGATTTCTGAATTTGCACCAGTGGTGGTTCTTTCAGGGATAATTCCTCTGAATACTGAATTTGGTGGAAGTTTGCCTTGGTTTTGTTTCTGATCACCTGATAGTACTAATTGTCTGCTCTTGGGCTGAAGTGGGGTTGTTCCTATGCTGGGCAGGTTTTTTATTTTTTGTTTTTAAAGTCAAACTGTGTCTAAAAGTGTTGCTGCACAGTTGCATGTGTTAATCCTTTTCTGTCCCCTGCATGGAGTCTGAATTCTCAATAAGGACCTCATTGGCATGTGTGCTAGCTGTGGGCGTGGGTGATGTGTGCCCAACCCAGACAGGAGAGGGGAAGGACAGAGAAAGGATTTGGGAATGTTTGCTAGAAAATGAATCCAATGAATAAGTAGATTGCTCCATTAGTCAGATTTTCATTTTAACAGCCAACCAGTTTTGGTTGACAAAGCCTGGTTTTAAGAAGCTTCTGTGCATTCATTTAGTTCAAAGAAAAAATGTAAAACCTGCAGGATATTGTGCATACAGCTTAGGAAGGTCTCCTGTCAAAGATGGATGTTCTTCTCTGAAGTGAAGGGAACGAGAGACACAGGGAGCGCTGCCTCTTCCCTTGACACGGAGGAGAGCACGTGGACCCGAGCCTGAGGCTGTGCTCGGCTCTGGACAGGGGCTCCAGCAGGAGCACCCCTCAGCTCCCTCAGATCTTGGCCTTGACAGGGAGTTCAACCAGTTAGTTAGTTAGTTCTCTTGGAAATTGTAGTAAAGCCTGGAAAAGTACGGCGTGTAACAGTCAATCCAGTGTTTGGGGCAAGTTAATAGTAGTGTTTTAGCTAGGGACTCCTCGGGACACCCACTTGGCGTTTAGCCTTTAATGAAAACAAAGATTTAGCTACCAAATGATTAGGCGCTTTAACTATTTGTGATATGTGAAGGAGCCATTAATGTAGTATAGCCTAGTAACATGCCTTTCTTGGTCTGAGAGAGCAGATGAGGACAGGTATAATAAGGCTCTATGTATTAACAACAGTGCCTTGCATTTCTGTGGAACTTCATCGAGAGATTTAATATCATCGCATTATTTGCTCTTCTGAACAGTCCTCTTCCGTTGATGTGTAACACTCCCTCCAGTTTATAGCAGAGGAAACCAGGGCTACAAAAGACATGGCCTTGCCCACTCTTAAACTTGGGCTAAATCCTCGGCCCAGGACTGCAGCCTGGGGCTCCTGCCTGCGTTTGCTGTTGTGCGGTCAGAGCACTGCTGGGTCTGGAGGTCTAGGGTGGGGACTGAGGCTGCACTGCTCACAGGCTCCTGGGTGTTTGCCAGTGCTGCCGGTCTTAAGACCACACTAGGCTAGCTAGAAGCGGATAACAGGGCTGCCTAAAACAAAGACATTGACCGTTAAAAAACTGGCAAATAAATAAATGTTCTACATCAGATACAGTGTCTAGGGGGCAAACACAGACTCCAGGGAGTGGGGTTCACATTTGCTCTGTGTGTCTAAAAACCAACGAGCTCTTGAAACAGGGAAGCTGCATTCCTCCGCAGAGTCCAGGAGCCTGTGGTCCTTACCGTTCTTAACCTCAGGAGGGACTGATTTCTGACCCTTGAACCGTAGAGTGTATATCAGTAGCCTGACTGAATGTCAGCCGACAGAGAGACTTCTAACGCACAGCGAGAGAACACACAGCAGCTATTTAATCAGTATGAAATGTAATCTTTATATATGCCACATTAAAATGGCATTCGGGTTCACACATTTCTGTGATGGCAGTTCCTCAAATGCATCTGGTTTTTACGCTGCTGAGCACGGTTCCCTCCTGGTCAGTGCTCAGCTATAAGCTGGTCCTCTGCATGCTTTGTCACACTGCTGTGGGTGCCTTCTCTCATTTGCATCCAGTTCCTTGCAGAGGCCCCTCAGGAGGCCTGTTTTGCATCTGGTGTTTGATGAAGAAGGAAGGATCTTTTAGTGCCATGTGAACGGCCAAAGCTGAGTAGTTTTTCTGACCCTGTAATAAAAGTCTGTAAATATCTTTAACAAATATTTTTGGCATGAGATATACATCTTGGGACATTAACTTTGTATATAGAATTTTTAGTTTTGTGACAGTATGAGAAAGGTGATACACTTGAACTGTAAAAAGGACATATTCTGCAGAAGGAATGTGGCAGCATTTTATAAAGAAAGAAAATTACTTGATTTTATTTGAATTCTTTTGGATTTGTTTAGATTCTTTTATGTTTTAAAGTTTTTAAAGGTACAACTTTAGTCTCTCAAGCATGGATATTAAAGCAGTCATTCAGGTGTCATTTCCTAAATTTAAACACTATTAGTTTAATCCATGAACAATTTTAAGGGGAAAACAAAAACAGTAAAAGAAATGGTAGCTGTTAATTATGTGGCAAGAATCAGATTGGTTTTTTGGTTGTTCTATGAACTCAGTTTAAACACTTTTGCAAAAACAAAAAAGATTTAGGAGTCAAGCATACTTTTTGTCTTGGTGTTTATTAACGTCATCTTGTATCCTGGGGATCAGCCTTTCCAGTTTTTAAAACTACGAGAAGTAAAAAGAAAACCAACGCAGACTATACATTCAGCTCTGTCTGCTCTTTGTTGCCAAGTTTTTAAAACATCGAGGATTATGATGTATCTATTATTTATTTTTCTAAATTTTGCTTTATTACTTTAAAGACTTTCAAAATTTATTTGAAAGAGTTACAGAGAGAGGAAGAGAAACAAAAGATCTTCCATTCACTGACTAACTCCCCAAATGGCCAGAGTGACTGGGGCTGTGCCAAGCAGAAGCCAGGAGCCTGGAGCTTGTTCCAGATCTCCCACATGGGTTCAGAGCCCCAGTCATCTGGGCCGTCCTCTGCTGCTTTCCCAGATGCATTAGCAGGAAGTTGGACCAGGACCTTTTTTTAAAGGCCAATAGAAATTAGGGCCCGATGGCGTGGCCTAGCAACTAAAGTCCTTGCCTTGAATGCGCCAAAGCCAGGCCAAAGCCAGGAGCTCATCCTGGTCTCCCACCTAGATGGCAGGGGCTGTAAACTTCCATCTTCCACTGCGTTCCTAGGCTTTTCGTAGGGAGCTGCATTGAAAGTGGAACAGCTGAGACAGAACCCTGCACTTGTATGTGATGCCAGGTACCACAGGCTGCATGGCCTTATCCCTGTGACAGCATCTTGAAATTCACACACCATTATTAAGGCATGTTATTGGTAAAGGGTTTTTTTTTGTCTCCTGGGAAATAACTATATATAAGGACTTTATTCTGTAAAGCAAAATACTATTTATCAGTATCAGTTCCTAAAAAAAGATAGAGGGGGGCCCAGTGCAGTTTCCTAGCAACTAAAGTCCTCGCCTTTAATGCGCCGGGATCCCATACAGATGACACTTCTAATCCCGGCAGCCCCACTTCCCATCCAGCTCCCTGCTTCTGGACTGGGAAAGCAGTCGAGGACGACCCAAAGCCTTGGGACCCTGTACGGCGTGGGAAACCTGGAAGAGGTCCTGGCTCCTGGCTTCAGATTGGCTCAGCTCCAGCCGTTGCAGTCACTTGGGGAGTGAATCAACAGATGGAAGATCTTCCTCTCTGTCTTTCCTCCTCTTAGTATATCTGACTTTGTAATTTAAATAAAAAAAAGAATCTAAAAAAAAAAAAGATAGAGGTGAGAAAATACCCTTTACAGTGGATATTTTTGGTAGTCCTGACCAAGTAAAACATTAAGTCACAGTGTTTCCTTTTGCTGGATTCTTGTACCATTCATCTAGTTAGTTAATTTTCTTTTCCCAGCAGCTACTATTTCCTGGATAGAAAGTCTGCCTAATTTTGTCTTTTCCGTGGAATTCTAAATCCAACTTGTCTTCGTGCAGATTTGCCTGTGTCAGAAAAGAACGATCGATGATTACTCAGGTAGTTTTGAAACTACATTGTTGTGAAGCCAGGCAGCAGTTTGATCTGAAGTAATGATGCAAAGACAGAAAACTGGAGCAACAAAGATGCATTTGAAGGTGGATCCATGTAACACGTTAGAACACTTGCGTCAGCGCTGCTCCGTGCACTGACTGGACGGTTGGTCACTTGGTCACGGACAGTGGCATTGCTCACCTCCCGGTGATGCGCAGGCTTTCTAAATAGAAACCTCTCCATGGCGTAGTTATTAGACTGCATACCTGGGACACTAAACTGTCTGGTGCAAGTTTATCTTCTTAGATTGATTTTTCTTCTGGTAATTTATCAGAAATTTAGAGGTGACATATTTTGATTTAAGTGTTTGGGAAAAAAAAGGGAACAACTCATTATAATGATCTCTTTTTATGCTTTTATCTACTCAGGGATAACCAATCGAATTATATAAACGAACTGGAGTGACTTGATAGAGAAAAAAAGCTTAATAGCTGTGCATGGAAAAATTAGTTTGAGAACCCACTTGTCTTGAGGGAAAGAGACATTGTGATAAAAAGCTCACATGATCTGGAATAGGGTTTCTCAGCACTGTTAACATCATCCCTGTTTGACTGCTTCCTTTTCTACTTTCTTATCTAACTCTTCCCTAGGGCTGCTCTTTTTAGTAAAGCTAAACCACAGTTGCGTCTCCTACAGCCTTACTAACCTTGTTAACCGCCTGCTCGCCACGTCTCTGGTCTCTGTATGGCGTCTGTGCTCACTCTGGGGGAAGGAGCCTGGAGGAAGCAACAGCAATAACCAAGGCAAATGGGGAGCGGCT